AACAAAGGCACAAACAAACCTAAGGAAAACAAAAGGGACTTGAGACCTTGGCCAAAAGGAACAAAAGGAGGGAAGACGCTGGGCCAACAAAACAGTGGGTCGTCGCTCCCAGCGTCTCCCCCTAAACTACCTAAAACAGAAGCTAAACCTAACTACCGGCAAATTCAGCCCAAACTAACACAGCAAAATAAAACAAGAAAACCCCAGCACCTAAATGAGCATGGGGGGAAAGAACCTGCTTGGGGAGAGAGGAAAAAAACAAGGGAAGAAGAAAAAGACTCCTCACTACCTGTGCTGTCATCTGTGTGCCATGCCTCCCTGTCTCTACACACCCTGCCCCTCTGATCACCTCCTCCTCTCTCTACCTGAGTGCAGAGTGCAGACTGCAGATTGCACTCAGGTGTGCAGCAGGCAGAGGGAGGAGGGAGTCAAGGCTGACAGAGAGAGAGCGAGAAAATAAGAGAGAACAGGCTGCTGCACATAACATAACAAATTTTTCATGTAAACTCATGGGTTATGACACTATGGGCCCCTAGGCACATATTTGCAAAGGACCCCAACTCTTTACCTACATAGGTGCAAGACCCACAGACTTTGTGGTGGTTTTGTGTCTTTTTGTAGTTGTATGGGTCTCTCTGTTGTAATTATGTGTCTTATTGAGGGTTTTTTTTTGTCTTTTTTGGTTGTTTTGTATCTCTTTGTAGTAGTTTGCCCGTTTTTGTAGTTATTTTGTGTCTCTCCAGTATCTTTGTAGTCCTTGTGTATCTCGTCATGGTGATTTAATCTCTCTTTCTGCACAGTACCTGTTAATTTGACTGACATTTTGCAAGTAAAGCCAGGTGAGGCCCTGAAACTGAGGGCCCCTGGGTCTGTGCCTGGTAAGCCTGATCAGTAATCTATGTGTAAACTGCCTGAAATTTGCCATGACAATTTCTGATAAGCCCCATGCTTTCCTTTGTGAAAACAAAACTCGAGATTTGTTTTCTGAAAGGCAAACAAGATCCACATTTTTTCAAAATGAAGAAAACAAGGAAAAAAGAATCTGAACATGAAAGTTGTGGTTTTGTCAATGATTCACACTATAATGTGTGTAAGTTAAAGGGGAGAGCTCCTCCTGTGAGACAATAATGGACCCTTACCTCCGGCTGTGGCTGAAGTTGTGCCTTCATCATCTCTCTCTCGCCTGTTGCGTTGATGACCTTGTGGACGTAAACGAGGCAGCGTCTGATGACGTCACTACCAGGACGGCTGTCCAGAGCAAATCGCAGATCTGCATCAAGGGCTGAGGAGAAGCAGCAACACTTCAACATCAAACTATTCTCTCCACCACACACACAGACATACACCTCACCTGATCTGCAGAGGCTCTGCGCTCTCTCTGGGCTCATCAGACCGTTGTGGACACACAGACTAACAGTGGTCTGAAACACACTCCTCAGCTCTTCTGTTTTAGCCTTCATCTTCATCTCCTCTTCCTCCTTAACGTCTTCCTGCTGAATCAGATAGAGTTGGATACTTGTGAGAAAACAGCATCACAACGTAACAGCTGTGACAGAAGACATAAATATTATTTATCCAGGCACATAATGTCTAAAATACTTTTTAAATTATTAATTTAATTTAATTTAATTTAAATCATTCATTTATCTCATTAAAAATATTAAAAAATTAATAAAAATAATTAATTTAATTATTGAAAAAAATATGAATAAAGTGTTATAAGTCATAGACACCAAACCATCAGTACTCTGCTCAAGGACACTAATTAGTACTCACATTTAATTAGTGGCCTACGGCTGTTTGCTCACCAGGAGAATCTTAATCACAACTTAATCTGAATGAAGACAACAGATGAATCATGTATTTCTGCGCTTCAGTGTGATCACCTGAGGACAGCAGGTGTTTCCATGTGGACGTCTCAGGCAGTAGGAGGGAGGGATGGTGTTCTCATCCCTCTGGTACACTCTCTCCAGCTCCTGGGTGCTGACACCCGCCCGCTGGCCCTCCCGCAGCAGCAGCTGGTACTCTGACACCTCCACCTGGGCGGGCAGGCAGGCCTTACCATACTGATGTCCCACCAGGGCCTGCAGCACCGCCATGTGGACACAGAGGAGACAGCAGCATGTTCAGTCCTGATAATCTCACACTTTTATGGTTGTTTATGGATTTATGAAGCTTGGCAGCTGATGTTAATGTACATTATAGTGTGTTGCTGAAAGTGCCTCAGGGCTACGACTGCGCTGATCACTCTGTATTACTCAAACTATGATTTAATTGCATTTTATTTTATTTTTTTAACACTATGATGCTGCAGTAGAGCCTGAGGCTTCACGTACTACTACAAACGCATGACTACATTAATCCTGATGGTTTATTTACCAGTAAAAAAGGTCCCGTGGAGCTCTTTCTGCATTCTTTAATCAGCTGCTGTCTGGTGTTTTCATCAGGCCAACGACTGGGATCACTGGACTCAAATGGGTCGATCACCTACACACAGACACACACACACACAGCCACACACAGCATAATGGTTAAAACAAACTAGAAGAGAGAGATATCTGATGATCAGTTTATGAAAAGCACACAGTGAGGAGCAGTAACAATCGGCCAGGTGGCAGCTCAGTAACATATGTTATTCTTCCATCTCTCTAATTACACACGCTTATGAAAAGAGATGGCACAATGTGCTGGTTAAACTGCCCCGAGGTGGTTTCACACACACTGACACACACAACGCACAGAGTCGCGTTACAGCTGCTCATCCTCTTGTCAAATTTAATTAGGCAAAGTTGAGTAAAAATTGACTGCACTTTTAAGGGAATGGCCACAGGGGGATAATGGGAAAGAAGAAAGCACACACACACACACACACACACACGACTGGTAGCTACCAAATAATATTGCTTTTGTATTGCACTGCTGGCAGTAAGCGATGTTACACAGAGAAGTCTTGGTGATGCTTGAATCTGTCTGTAATAGTGCTGAAACAGTTAGTCAATTATCCCTGCAGTCCACTGACTGAAATTACTTTTCTGGCTGCAGTGTTTCAGAATAATTCAATTCCATCTTGTAAAGGGATTGTGCAGGGTTTTTTTCTGCTGTTGGTCAGACAAAACAGTAACTTTAAAGGAATACTTAACCTACACAATAGTCATGCTGTGTTACCTTCAACTGGTGAAGAATTTCTTGGATGCGTCCACAGATAAAGTGAAAATATTGGTTTGCTGATTGATTCTGTGTTTAGCAACAGCAAAACTATATCAGAACATCTATTGATAAACTCTCACACAACTCATGCAGTATAATCCAAGTCTCTTGGAGACTTGGATTGTACTGCATAAGTTGTGTGAGAGTTTATCAATAGATGTTCTGATATAGTTTAAGTTTTAAGTTCAATCAATCCCTATCCCACTTCCACCAATCAGCTGACTATGGGCATGCCTTCTTCTAGTTAGCCTATCAAACTTTGTCACAATCTCCTTCAGCCATTCATATTGCTGCTGCCAAACTAAATCTGTTCTCTTCTCTGCTCCTGTCAGCTGTCATTTTAGGCAGAATCATTACGCCCTCCTCCACCTATTCACCTCCAGTCACCTTACCCCTTGCCCAGGACGAGCTCATCTAAAGCCCACTCCTCTACACATCCTCAGCTCCCTCTTCATCTCATCTCATCACCACCACCAGCATCTAGACTCCATAGAGGGGCTCCCTAATCTACTACGTCTTTACCGCCCTCCTGAAATATATGACATAACGATAGGGTCTAATCGCCACAGACTTTTCACATTTGTCATACTTATGTGCACATGTAAATCTCAGAATGAGTCTCTCCCGGATAAACGTGGTCCCCAATCAATCAATAAATCAATATACTGTGGAGACATGCCAGAAAAAGTTGTCTTCACAAATTCAAGGTAACATAGTATCACTAATTAAACACAAATGGCCATATTGTAGTTGAAATGTTCCTTTAACTCAGGACTATCACCTCTGATAGCAGCAGCAGCTTCTGTTAAAGTCAACACTGCATGAACAATTAAACAAGTGAATAAAACAATATTCAGAAATTAATTGCTCTACATCTAATTTTGGTTCAGATATCTTTTTACTATTAGGAAGAAGATGCACATTTCAGTAGATCATGGAGCTATAAGAATAAAGACACCACCAGGGACACATCACTGTAAACAGAAACAACTTTATTTACCTATTTTTTGTCAAGGATCTCAAATAAAGTAAGTTACATTGTGCAGTGGATCACAGCTGAGTGCTCCCTCTGGGTCTAAAAGCCTTTAGCAGTGTGAGTGGCTGCGACATTACAGTAAGTGTTACAGTGTGAAGTGGTGATTAAAGGAAGCAAAGGACATAAAACTTCATAAGAAAAAGAAGAAAGTAACTTTCCCATCTGCAATACAAAACATAGATAAGCGTGCACTCACCCTGACATCCAGTCCCAGTGTGTGTCTGCAGTGCTCTCTGAGTTTAGGGAACACACTCTCTCTCAGAGCTCTGCGCTCCACCACACTATCTACATAGAGTAGAAACACAAACAACACACACATTTATTCTCAAAACAATTCAGAACATATAAACTTACATCACTTGCTTTGCTACATACCCTCGGGGTTGGAGCACAGGTAGAGTTTCACACAGGTGGAATTCAAAGACGAGCCGTGTTTTCTTCTGGAGCGCATGCTTAACTGCTAAAATAAAGCAAAACAAGGGAGGAAAAAATTGGGCATGAACATGTTCAGTGACCCAAATAAGAAGTTCAGAGTGGCTGCTTTGCTGCTCTTTCTCTTTTCCCTGTCGCTCCACTCAGGAAACTCTGGCCTTGGGTGTTTATAGAGCGTGTTATCACGAGCACACCCACTTCTAGGGACTGGAGCGTCTATCCAAAACACACAAACACATGCATTTAAAAACCCATACAGCCGCACAGTTGTGTACATACTCAAATATGTAGGGCAGACCAACAGAAACTCAAGAAACTCAGAAACAACTTTTCAATATTTTTTTTATTAACATTTGTACACAATAAATACAAACTTTGTTTTGTTTTTTTGTACAGCCAATAATAATATGCAGAAATACTTTTGCACCTGTTCTCATTATTGTCACCATGGCAACAGTCCATGAAGACAGAGAAGACCAGTTGTTCCACCACATAGTTAATAGCGGCAGCTGTGAAGCCGCTCCAAATCGAAGGATGAAAAATAAAAGAATTATATAATACATAAACCCCCCCCAAAAACAGGCTCATACCAAATAATTCAACACTGTGGCGGACCGGAGGGACTGTGAGAGAGGGGGAAATAATCCTGATCAAAGTGGCAACTGGCAACAAAAAGTCATTAATTTTATATGTGATAAAAAGACTGATTGAGCATCTATGGTGGGAAGTTCTGCTGTAAACCATAAACTTCAAACAAGTCTGAAAGCTCAGAGAGATGAAGGAGAGGCTGCTGCTCAAGTCGCCTTGACCACGCTGTCACAAGTCGGTGCCAATTCCTACAGCAGCAGGGGAGCAGAGGATTGGATCTGAAAGTGCAACTCATTCCGGGATGTGGATGCTACACAAAATGTTTCTAAAAGCTGATGCAAAAATATAGATTTTTTAGCACTGTCCTCATTTCTTGCATCACTTTTCTCAGTCTGACATAATTCACCTGCACCTTGCAAAGAGGGAATCGATTAGTTTGAGCCCAGATTAGTTTGTTTCCCATCTTACAAAACGTCTAAAGCTGTGCCCCAACTCCAGGCTGCATATTATTACTAAACAGTGTGCACTTTATACAAGAAATTAAGATACTTTAGAGTTGCGTATCAACAGGAAATGTGCTATGATACTGCAACTTTGGAGCTTAGGAGAAAGGAGAAAGCAACATAGATAGATAAGCTTATTGTTGTTTTCTGTAATATGTCTGGAGCTGTTTTAAAACAGGGTGCAGGAGCTCCCTCTTTTCTTTTTTGTGTCTGTTTGGAGCAGTGCTGTGCGTCAACACCACACTCCAACATCTGCATCTTTGAGTGTACTTTAGCGCTCTACAAAATCAAACCCTGTTTGGAATAAATATGGAGGAGGAAACTGGGACACATCTTCACATCTGATCCTCTCATCTTTTAAACAATCACACACGGGCTCGTCTCAAGACTATAAAACCACATTGTCTCTCTACGTCTTCATTCCAAACGTCTCTTATTATAATCATGTTTTTTGTTTCATAAGTTTAGCAAAACATCAATTTACATTGTCCACAATTATCTCTCCATCTCTTTGGAAGAGTGGGGGATAAAAAATAAACATCAGTCACACTGAAACAAAAAGGATTCGCCACAGAATCAGAATGAAAAGAATAAACTACAGTGATTTATCAGAGTCTATTCCGTCCATTCTGACGCTATGTTAAGGTACTGCTACTTTTCAGGGAAGGTACAAATAAATAAAAGTGCTACGCTGCCCTTTAGGCGAGGAGTTTTAAAGGCTTGAGGGGGGATTTATTTACTTTGAGTAAAAAAGAACACAACAGAATTGTACTTAGCTCTGTTTGAATGTCATTTGCTAGTTCTGTCCATTAAGCATGATGCATTTGCTTTATACATCTCTTTTGTTGTCTGTTTCTTCTGTGATCACAGGAAAACCTGGGGGTGATATCAAATTGGAAATGATACAGGTTATTTTTTTATGGAAGTGATGGAGTTGCTTGGCATACAAAAGAGAAAATAACACTTGTGAGTGTAATGTGTGTCAAATAAACAAGGATATATGTGATAGGTGAACTGATCGGTGTTATAAATGAACACAATCATGTGAGAGGAGATATGATCTGTAGGGATAAAAGCTATACAGTCCATTCTGTGGTTAATAAAACCTCCTGACCCCGAATGCAATCAGTGTCTATATCATCTCAAATAAAACTTCTCTTTATCACCACATAGTGAATACCAACAATGTCAGCGCCTCCTGAAGGCACCACCGGCCTCCCCCTGAACCAATCAGCGACACAAGCACACAGAGGGTCACAGAATGAGAGAAGATATAGCGACGTGTGCGTAATATAATGCAACTGTATGTGTGTATATGACAACCATCGATTCACACTGACTGCCAATGGACAGAACAGACATTAGAGAAAAGAGGGAGGGAGGGAGAGAGGAAAGGGAGGGTGGGAAGAGAGGTGGAGAAAAGAGCAGAGAGGAGGATCCAGCCTCCTTCTTCTCTCTTGTTATTCATCCTTCCCTCCTCTTCTTTCAGCTCTCCTTCATACTGTATTTACAATGCCCTTTCAGAATAAGATGAGGATAAAACTTCCACTACATATCAGACATGGTATTTCAATCAGCTGAGTTAGTCTATATGAAACGCTGTGCATAACATTCCTATGACAACAGTAATGTACTGTACTAATACACATCGAATACGTATGATGATAAGGACTATATATGGTAAGGGAAGGGCTGGTGAGGGGGAACAGTGCGTCCACACACCACCAAGTTTCTCTGTCCATTTACTTTGACCCCAACTGCACCCAACTGTCAATCATAATCATGACACGTTTGGCAAGTTTTGTACTTTCTGACACTTCATGTAGCCCAGACACTCAAAACTATGGTAAAGGGTATCAGACAAGTAAAAAACATAATTTACCTTACTTTTATTTATGGTATATCTTTCACCAGTTCATCTTTAAACTTATTTATTTGTCTGTTTTTTGGTTTTGGCACAGATTTACTCATTTATTTCTTCCCTATTTTTCTTTCCCCCTAACGTTAGCCAGCCTTTTTTGCGAACTACCAAGCTGAAGCTGACTTTTATCATAGAGCTGCACCAGCTGCTGCACCAGCTACTGCACCAAATGTTAATCAGCAACATACTGTACGGCATACTGCTCTAGCGTTAGAGTCTAAACTCTTGTAACAATAACTAAAGCATTTACGCCACGGCTGTATAAAGAGAAATGGATACAGCTTTGGAAAGTTGCTCAGTGGTGTATGAAGCCAAAAAGTTCGACTTCTCATGTATAAATTACCCACATCTTCTCTATTGTTGGGCCCATGGAGCAAGCATGCTACAGACTTTCACGAGCTGAATGGCTAACTTCCTGTATAGCCTTCCGCTGACTTGAATGGGGATAAAATCATATTATTGTGCAGCTCTTCTGCGCTGATTATGCTGGAACTGGAACTCTGACAAATGGAGAGGAAGCTGGAAGACACACTATGAACCCATAGAGGTGGAAGGTAAAGGCTTTGCAAGACGTTCTCTCTGCAAAGTCTTCAACCAATTGGGTGGTAAAGAAGAGGGGCATCCAATCCACAAGCAAAGTCACAGAGGAAGTCACTGTGGCTTTGAATTAAGAGAGCTGAACTGTGGGCACATGCTGCTGGGAGTCAGGTCAGGGCCTGATCAACCCCAACTATGTCGCCTGGGTGAGGGTGTCTGATTTTGACAAACCCAAAACACCCGATGACCCCAGGTCACATCACTGACAATGTGTCCCAGTCCATCCAGACAATGTATCTTGCACAGACTTTCAAAATATTATTGGAACGAACGGATCAAATTCTTACAGTGAAAGTTTGTGGGGGTGGTGACGCTTAAACAAATGAGCTACTGATTTACAGACGTCTTTCTAACAATGTAAGTCTATGAGACCAAGTATATTTGGGCCCACTGGCACCACCTGATGGACTCAGGTACTGTAATTCCACTGTTTAGCCACTACAAAAAATGGCTTCAAAGCCTGGCGCTGTTCCCAGGGGTCTGATTTTCGCCAGCAAGCTATTTGCTATGTTACTATGCTAATTAGAATTTCACAGACTTCAGAGACACGCTTCTACGTTCATAATATTTTCATCTATAAGTGCTCTCTCTGTATCAAGGACCATGATGGATGTAAGTCTTAGAATATATTGTGTCATCTTCGACAGTTTGCAGATGTATGTGATCTTATGTGTCTTTTCTCAAAATAAATGACAAAAAAAGTTCCAAGCTCTAGCTAGCTACGCATACAATGATGCTACAGCAGTATGCGGTACAGTATGTGGATCATTAATAAGCACTGGCTGGTGTAGTTTTATAGACAGTTAGCTTCAGATAAGCAGCTGGCCACAAAGTCTCCTTTGCTCCAAGCAACTGTCTTTCTTAAATGTCTTTTGCCTAAGAAGAGCTTAAGAAAAGCAAATGTTGCTTGGGGAAGACAACAAACGATTCAATATTAAGTACAATGTCGTACTTTTCTTTAACAATCCATTTTATTTTTTTTGCCGAGCAATATTTGTATGCAGTAAGTTATATTTTTGACTTGTCCTATAATCCTTTACTAAATCTTGTCAGTCTCAGGGCTCCATAACTTTTTTAATGTTCCATTATTTGTTCGGAAGTGAGTGAAAAAAGTGACTTCCTGTGCCGATAGATAAACTGCTTTACAGTATCATGAAGTAAGCGAAACAAGGAAAAAAAAAAAAAGAAAACCTGCCAAACCCATCATTAACTTTCCCTCGCACTCCCCCTCTCTAAACATTCTTCCTCCTCTTCCTCCTCTTCAGTGTGCTCTGGTTTGCTGCCCGATGAGGTAAAGTTTTAAGGCAAGAACGGAAGGACAGGTGTGGGAGGGCGGAGGGGGACGTGGGGGTGGCTACTGCTGCACTTCATTAGAAAGCTAATACAGAGATTATTTAATTGGATACTTTGCCTTCATTCCCTCTCTTCGCTCCCCTCCTCAACTTGAGGATGAGAGAAGATGCGGAGAGGCCGGGGGGGGGGGGTCGGACATGGTTCAGTTCGGTTTACTTCACATCACTTTGTTTAAGCTGACTTCAGTTCAGAGCAGTTCAGTTCCCCAGCCTGTAGGATGTGTCTGTCTGTCATCTGGTTTTATTTTTTCTGTCTCTATAACTGCCTGCCAGCTTCTCTGCCTGTCACACCAGTGTGATCTCCACCTCCTCCGTCTTGTCGCTCTTCTCCTGCGGTCGGCGGGGGTGCTGTTTGGGGGGAGGAGGAGCAGCTCGCACCTGCAGCAGTGAAAGAAAGCATCATAAATATATTTTTTTTTAAAAAAAAGGCAAAGTGAGGGGGAAGGAAATGGCCTACTTTTCTTAATTTGACAAATGGATCATTTCCTGCTGTGAGACGCAAAAAGTAAGGAATATTTACTCTCTACTTTTGGAGCCTTCTTAAAAATAAACACAGTAGTCTGAATTGAAATCATAACTAGGACTCACAGGCAGTTTAATCAACACTTAGTGTTATATAGGGCTGCAATTAACGATAACTTTCACTATTGATTAAACAAAACACACTTCTTGAATAGCTTTTATACTAACAGGTCGTAGTTTGCTTGGACCTCCTTCAGGGGTAAAGCGCAGTGGCTGAGAAAATCCTGGAGACACTGGACTCTTGCCAGAGCTTTGATCTACAGTGGGAGAGAAGGACGGAGATTAAAAAACTTACTGTAAAAAGCCACAATGACATCAACTCAACTTTTGTGTGTGTGTGTCTTACTGTGGGAGGTTAGCGGTCCCTTGTGTGACGAGGCGGGTGGTGGAGGCTTGTGCTCCCCGTTGAGTGCCGTGGAGGGTGATCGTGGGAGAGGAGGCGGGGTGGAGGTCTCGGGGCTGGTGAAGGGGCTGATGGGAGGTTGGTCATATAGCGGGAGAGGTGGCAAAGAACATGGCAACTTCAGAGATGGAGAAATCTGGAGAAAAGGATAGAAAGAGACAAATACATGATTAAAAATTTGCGGTTTAGCTGTGATGTCAAAAATAAGTCCCTTGCTGTCCTCAATTCCATTAAGTTGCTGCTAAACAATATGCAGAATGGACCAAACGCATCCAAAAGAACACCCTCTTTCACATTAAGTGAAGTTTAGACCGCCTTTGTGTGTAAAATTGTGTTTTTCAATTTCAATTCTAATGCAAATTAATTGGCTGAAACTGACCAGACTATAATTAGACTCATCTTGACCTCAAGAAAAAGACTTCACACTTGGTGGGTGTATCGCTGAGGAGCCACGGAGGTTGCAGTGTCGAGTGTGCGCTCTTGAGATCCTCGGCATATTCATTAGTGTTGTGTTATGTAAATACTGTGTCAAGTATCAAGAGGGGACCCCTATTAACTGTTACACCGCTGAATAGCATGCTGGGTACAGCTCCCTGTTTGTCACTCAGTACAGTATTGAAGCAACTCAAACATTTCAAGCATTAGCAATGTAACTTTTGGAGTGAACGCTTTCGTTCCAGGAAATAATCTGGTCCCACATTGCTAGCTGTTTGCAACTGACACATATAATCTGGCACTGCTAGGAGATGCAGCTATTTCAGAACTTAAGGGAGCACAGTGTCAAATAAAGTTGTTTCGATGGGCAGTTCACGAGAAAGCTGCAAGCAATCTGCCCATTACTAACAGGCGACAACAGGAGCGACATCAGCATTCACTTGGAGTCGTTTCTCTGTTCACCTGATAAATGAAAGTCCAATAGTCACTCTCTTTTTCATTCTGTTGTTCGTTCCCACCATCTCCTGAGGGGAACATCGGTCTCTCTAAATGCTCCTCAGTGTTCACCAGCTAGTTGCTAACGCTGTCTGTCTGTTGTTTGTTGCTAAGCAGGTAGTGTACGGACTTAAAGATGCTAAAACACTTCATAGAGCTGAGTGGAACTGCAGAGTCACATGATGCGGGATGTGGGTTTGTCACCAGAAGCAGCCCCTTTCACATTAGAGCAATCTCATCCATCGTTGATGAAAAAAAAACCCCACTAGAAATCCTATAAGGGATACCCTACAGAAATATTGCAGACAACTTTTACCGTTTCCGTGGCAGCAACCAGGAGGATTCAACTTTTTTTTAACAATCTCCCCCACATGCCACTTAAAAGACATTAGAGCTGTTGCGGTGTGTGTTATGTCTACAGGCTTTTCGGAAGGGAGAGGCTGTATCCTTCCTGTTGCTGAACCACTAATAGGGCAGCACTCTGAGCCACAGATAAGACTTCTTTCTGTGATTGCAGCGCAGGGTTTTTATCAGAGCGCTGCAGGAACACAGCAGCTCTGATCCACTGTTTGTGAACTCTGCCCTGCTGTTAGATGTACTGGACATCAGCCAGGAAAGGGAGGAGAGACGAGGGGAGGGGGGGAAGTGGCACACCAGACTACACCATGTGCTTGGTATTTCTGCCCTGAGGAAAGACTGATAAGACCAAATTTCCAGCTCCTCAAGAATGATGCGTTGAGTGTCTGTTTGTTACTTAAGTGGGAGTATGTCTCCATTTTCAATCTGCTCTCCTGTGTTCGAGTCTAAGATTGCTTGTGTCACTTCCCCGACTTAGTATCTCTGAGACTCATCACTGTGTCTGAGCGCATCAATGTACCTGTATGTCACCCGGCCCTCCTCCGCTGGTCTCTCCATTCTCAGTGAGATCTTCTACCAGCACGGAGGGGAAGACGCCCACCCGTCCGTTGAGCTCCCCCTCCCAGAAGCCGTCGTCTGTCTGAGTGTCGCGGCTCAACAGGCGGATCACAGCTCCCTCGGAAAATGAGAGTTCCTCATCCGCCTGGCCCTCGTAATCATAAAGTGCACGGACGTACATCACTGCGGACAGAAAGGAAGATAGAGAGAGCAGTAAGATACACAGAAGGAATAATTACTCTTGGGGAAATGTAGTCCCTCCTCTGCCTGGCCGTCATTGTTATTAAGAGAATGGTACACACCGCTTGAGAGAGGGAGATACAGAGGAGACAGAGAGAAATAATAATTAGGTGACAGAGTTTCCCCACGCATTCAGGTAGAGCAGACACCGTAGGAAGGGGGTTGGAGGAAGGGCAGTAGAAGAAGAAAGATGTGGTGTGGATGCACCAATAGTGTTGCAGAAACAATTTCATACAACTGCCTCACTCTTGTTTCTGTTCCAGTCAGTAACTGCTGTGGCAGTGACAAACATTTCTACTTATTTAAAGGTTGATGTGGAAAAACAGCGGCCAAAATATAAATGGATGAAAAGGAAATCAGGAGGGACAGAGCTTGTGGAAGCTGCCTGCAGGTTTTTACTGAACAGTGGCCCGCACACACTTCAGGTTTTGCCTTTACACTTCTGTTTAGTACTGCTACCATAAAAATATTTTTATCTCATTTCACCCTGTAAGGTAGACAACCCACACTTACTTATTCTAATAATGCTCTGCTTTGCAAATTGAATGGTGTTTACAGCTGAATTCTGAGCTACTCCAGTGGAGCAGTAAAGAGAAAAATGCCTTAATCAGTGGTGCATAATAACCTCATTACAGGAAGAAAAAAACTCATTCACACTGGTACAACTGGAACTAGCTTGTTTACTAAAACTCCTGGCACATAGTTTAATTATGTCAAAGACTAATTTAACATCCCTAGGTTTACAGTGCACTCACTGTTTGTGTCTCCATTGATGCAGCCGGAGTGCAGCTCTGGCTCGGTGGAATTGGACGAGGTGTGTGATCGAGCGTCAAGCGTAGCCAGAGACTGGAGCATGCTCAACAGACTGTTGGAAGTCGGGAACTGCAGGTATTTCTCTGGGACGTAGCCGACATGACCTGTCTTATTGCGAGCCTGGAAAACACACACGAACACACAAACACAACCAATAAAAACAATGAAGAAAGGCAACATGAAAACATGCATGGCAGGAAAAAATGAAGCACCAATGAGCCACGCAAGGCTGTGTAACGCACGGGATAAACACACAGAGATCGAGAGATAATGCTCAGGGTGCCTGCAGGTATCAGACACTTACATTTATTGCTTTTTAAGACCATTTAAAGACAATTTTAAACCAAATTTAAAGACAGATTTTTGGACTAATCTTCTTTCTCTTATTCAAGCACTGCAGGTAAGTACAAAGGTAAGTAGTATATATGTAGTACACTGTGCAGGAGAAGATTTTATGAAGGAATATGGTCATTAAAGTGAGTTAGGTTAATTTACGTTTTGCCAAAAGATAAGTGCAAGTAGTATTATGTTCAGTAGTATGTTTAAAGATCTGTTACATAAAAAAATTGGACTTTCACACAGAAGAGCTCGACTCATTTTGACAAAAAACTAAATTAAATTAAAAGATAAATGAAAATGGAAAAAAAATGTTTGTGGCAATTCAAACCTCACAAACTAAAATTTAAGACATAAAGGTATAATATTTACAATAGTGAATTTTACGACATTTTAGGGACATGTAGACTGCCTGATGCTTCTGTATAACTGTAAATGCAATGTAGGTCTGGGTGATGTGGCAAAAATCTTCTATCGTGATATATGTAATTCATATCACACTAACGGTATACATCACAATATAGTAATTGTTCTGTAAAAATTAAGAAATAGTTTTAAATAATCATACTGTACTTATCACATTGGATTACTGTCTTTTTTGGAACTTCTATACAAACAAAAATTCAGCTGCCTCACATGAAGCAACACTTAAAAAAAATTCAAAACAGTAAAACTAAAATCCTTTCAAAATAAAATCTTTAAGGGTGCTGAGGACAATAATTGTGTTTGAGTAGTAACCTGTTACTATGTTTCAACCTTTGCTCTCGCCCTCCATGTCTGCCCAAATCATGTTACCTTGCGAGAAAGCAGGATTCGCGAGACTGTGAGATCACGAGAGAATCACAAGATCACGCAAGAATTCTGCCCCAAATTGCTCCTGCTGTAGAAACGGTATTGCTGGTATTTTATTCATGTTTATTCTTGTTTATTTCATTGATGTATATAATGTAGGCACAGTGACGACATATATTTTATTTATTTAATCTTCTAATATCTTAAGTACTAGTGTTAAACACCGTAGCATAATGCACATTCCATTTTTATTTGATTTAATGCACATTTTCATTTCTATTTTACTTTATTGCTTTATATTTACATACTTTTATTTCATACTCTTATTTTTACTTCTGATCATTCTCTGTTCTTTACATCGAAGCGACTGTAACAAATCAAAATTTCCCCTCGGGGATCAATAAAGTATTTCTGATTCTGATTCTGCCAAATCTCTGCCAACATATTTCTACCACCACACAGTTTATATCATCATATTGCCCAACTCTGCACATCTGTGTGATCACTGCATGTGTGTGTATTTGTGCACCTTGACCCAGTCCTCCATGTCTCCGTCCTCAATGACCTCCAGCATCTCCTGTTCATCAATAGTTAACTCATCCGGCTGAGAGGCCTGTGGGAGAGACACAGCAACAGTGTCAAAGACAGAGCAAGACGAGACATTCATACAGTAAAAACCCTCCACACTAGACTGAGCCCATCATTAATAATTCATTTTAAACTGCTAGAAAAAGTCGCGGTTATTCACATTCATCAGCATATATGCAACAGTGGCATTCAACTTTGCTTACCTGACTACATGTATGGGTGAACTACTGACATTTGATAGGTGTGTGACCAGGTAACCGCAGAAGGGTAATCTGTGTGTGTTGGGTTTGTACCTTGTATGAGTACAGGACTTTGCAGGTTAGCGGGTAGTTTCGGAGGGTTCCCGAAGGACTGGAACTGCTGTCGTCAAAAACCTCCATATTCTCTTCACACTCTTCTCCCTCCTCACGCTCCAAGTCCACTGTGCCCTTTAACACACAAACACACAGCCAGATAATGTCAGAACCTCTGATAAGTACAAGGACAAATAAGAAAAGCACCATTCACCTTTACAGCTCCGGGATAAAAACAGATCAAGTACACAAAGAGTTCTCCAAATACACAAAAATTATATATCCTGATGTAACGCCTACCTTGTTGACTTGTGTTATTTTCTTTGTCTATGCTGGTATCTACACCTGCTAGGTCTGTCCATTTAACAAAACTTTCACTTGTTACCTTTCCCCTCTCGTCCTGTCTGTCTGCACTCTCTGTGCTTGCGTAACAATCTCATCTATAGCACTGCTTACCTTTGCTTCCTGCCAGGGTTTCTCTGTCCTGCTCTGTGCGAGTACTACAGCTTTTAGAGACAGGTGTAGACGGACTAATGTTTCATATGATCCAGCACCTCCCTCTTTTGTTTCATGAGAATTTCACTGGCTTATATGATGGTCATGTGATCCAGCTGGTAGAAAGATCCATCACACGCAGCAAGCTGACCCGGCCGCAACAATAGAGTGTGTGTTTGGGTGCTTGTGTTATCCATTCCCAAGTGATTGTGTTTAGTCATCAGATTTCTGTTGACACAGTAAACTCAACACCGGTGCAGAATAAAACAGATGTGTGTGTTTTGTATATGAGTGGGAACCCATTCCCTGGGGAAATAAATAACCTCCAGGTGTGTACTGAAGGTGTTCCCTAAATAAACATTCACACACTCTTATAAAAGCTCGTTGATAAGTTTGTTGTGTTACTCACTCACTTTGTTGCACTGATTTAAACGTGCACAGCCTCGGGGCCAATTCCATTTCATCCCTGAAGTAAAATGACCGGCGTGTATTTCGGTAACCCAATAAAATATCACCAAAAATACATCTCAGTGTGTGTACCAATACAGCCCAGATGCAGACCAATGGACACTTTTATGGCTCCGGGAAGTAATAACTGTGAAAGTGATATCATAATGAAGGCAGCGGCTGCCTGAGGGACTTGCGGGTTCATGGCTTACAGTATTTCATCGTCGTATTAATAAAATTGAATGGGAAGAAGAGAGGGTCAGGGGAAGTGTCTGCTCCCCACTCTCATTGTTTTTCTTTGCTCTCTTTCTGCAGATTATTATTCACAGTCCATCCATCCTTCCTCCCCTCTCTGACCATTGGTCACTTCTTGACCTCTCCGTAATCAGCAAACTGCTGTTAACAATCCCTCCTGCTGTTTCCTGCCTCCTCTCCATCTTTCTCTCTCTCTCTCTCTGCATTTCCCTTGTCGCACCTTGTCATTATAATCCCTCTTTCTTCACCGCTGTCAGTCTCTGAAGGCTCCAGTACACTCCAAATAAAATCAAAGGCTGTTGAACTGCTGTCAAATGCCTGAAAACTCAATGTGCCTCCCGGTCTGTTCTTTTAATGACACCCACGCCAGATGGAGGAGTTTTCAACAAGCCTAGCCTCCAACTGATTTATTTTATAAATAGAGCAAGGGAAAGCTGAAAGAAAACTTTAAAAACAAGCGTGAATTCACGAAAGCTGTGACCACTGACAGGAATGCATCAACATGTTCATGCATTCACACACACAACCTCACAATCATGTCACTATAGATGCCTCCCTACGACAACTAGTTCATGGGACATGGCAAAATTAAAATGGTGTGTGTGTAAGTCTGGAAGACGACCAAACGTTTGTCGACCAGTAATGTCACTAGTCGGCAAGATTTCAAACAAAACGTGAAACTCTATTAGGAGCTGGGCTTTGTCAAAATAAATCAAAACCTGCATGTCTGGACCATGTGGGAGTTTAATTTGGAAGGGAAGACACAGGAAGTGGCCACGCTCAGCAGTCAGGCAGGAGTCCCATTCATTTCCAGGGCTGGTACCTGCAGTTATTCCGCAGGCTTGTTAATAACATGTCGGGCAGGAAATCCAAAGTGTGGGATCATTTTTAGAAGGTGAAGGACGAACCCAAGGTGATATGTAAACTCTGCAGACAAACATTTGCCTATCATTTGTTGACTACAAACATGACGTATCATCTTTACAGCTACATGCCCATTAGCTACTTAGCTTAGGAAAATTTTTAGTCAGGGGCAGCCCTATACCATGGACACAAAGAGTACAAGAGTGGATCGAGAGCCACCTCTGTCTCTCTCAAACCAAATGGTAAAACTAGGCAGTGCTGATCAAATATAAACTAAGATTCTGCTGCCATATTGCCTTTTTCTTGCCTAAAATGTCTCCAGAAACACATTTTAGTGTACTGTTTGGCTGTAATATGAAAATTTGTGAGCAAGATGTGGGAACCAAACTGTTGAAAAAACTGAGATCAGGGGCACCCGATGGCTTAGTGGGAAGAGCAGGTGTCCCATATATAAAGGCAATGCCCTTGCCGCAGCAGCCGTTGGCATGATTCCAGCGCGGAGCCCTTTGCTGCATGTCATCCCCTCTCTCCCCTCTTTACACTTAGACTGTCCGATAAATAAAGGCAAAAAGCCCAAAAAAATCTTGAAAAAGAAAAAACTCAAACTGTCAAACTAAGCATCGCTGAATAAATATGAACCAAGATTCTGTTACTACGTTGCCTATTTCTCATTTAAAATGTTTTCAGAAACATGTTTTAGCTTACTGTTTAACTGTTATTTGTTACCAGCAGGCTACCATATCGTTTCCTGTGTCAAAATGGCCAAGCTTGCATTACGTCACCCAACAGTGGGAGTGTTTATTAGTCCAGTGTGGCGCTTGGCATTCTGGTAGCCACAGCCATTTTCCTCTGATTTTCTGGTCATGAAGCATCAATTTAGAAAGTATCTGCATCGTTCTACGGCAGAGACAGTTTAATTTTATGAAAAGACCATCTTTCCAGCAGTGAAATACGTCTTTAAGTCTACGGAATTGTCTAAACACAGCTCTTTGTTTTGGTCACCATTTTGTTTGTGCACATTTGCCAGTTCTAACTGTGGAACCGCGGCCTTACAGTATGCTCCTCTATGTTCTCTTCTGTTTTTCACGATCCCGCTGTCTCTCTCACCTCTGCATCCAATTTTACTTCAACATTATCACTCCCTCCTCACCTCTCCCCCTCACCCTCTCCTCCTCATTACACCACCTCCTCTTTTTCTCAACTCTCTCTCCTGCTTCTCTAATTGTCTCTTCAACACTCCCTCTCTCTCACCGCACAGCTCCCTCCATCATCCCGTCTCTCCATGTGTCTCTTCCTAGAACGCCCTCATTGCCCAGACTTTCTCATGCTCAGTATCTCTCTCTGTCTTGCTCTCTGGTGTTAGCTGCATGCTGCAATATCATGTGAGCAGAATGTCAAGTGCTTCCGATGGAGCAGACGGACTATGTTTAGTCCTGTTGACAGACACACATGCACAAAGACAGACATCTCCAACACAAAGTCCCATATGGGATCACACTCCTTGTCGTGGACGCACATTCTCCTCCCCTCATGTGTACCCGATGGAGAGACAGACACGCACACACAAATGCACAAACATAAATGTATATAAATGTCCATAATTCAGGTACACATCCAGTCACACACACGCACGCACGCACGCACGCACGCACGCACACACACACACACACACACACACACACGGGCATAACATAAATGGCTCAGTTAGTGATTGTACATTAAAGGGATAGTTTAGGATTTTTGTAGTAGGGCTGTATGAGGTACCTATCCATAGTCAGTGTATTACCTCAAGTAGATGGCGGTCAGTGCACTCCCTGTTTGCAGAAACAGATGGGACAAGCACCCAAGAAGCTCCGCAATACATTGCTGTTAAGGGGGGGTTGACACCAAAATATATTTTAGCCACCTAAAAAGAGGCCCATTTAAAAATCAATATCAGTCTAAGTGGATGCTATATTGAGGATATTTTCACCACTTTGCCGTCAGACAGCCCTCTTCTTTGGCACTACATTTTCTCAATCATAGAGCTTCCATATTGCGCCGTGCACTGTATAACTCAGCAAGTCTGCTGTTTGGGTCAGATTGTCAGTGATTTATAGAAGACACAACAAATACTGAAAGTAAAACTGAGTGATTATGACAGCAAAGACAAAGTGACGTTCACTGTGGAGACAAGAGGATAGCTTTCTGAGCCAAATTACAGAGAAGAAGAACTTTTGCAGAGGGAGACTGAACGGGTTGAAAAAGAGAGAGGGAGAAGAGAAGGGAAACTTCTGTGGAAGCTGAAGGCCGAGAGCGAGCAGAAGCTAACTGTGAACTGTTATATGCATGCTCAGGGACCCAGAGAGCTACTGCTGCCATGAGTCAGACGTGGTTGCAACAAAACCACAGGATCTTTCTGAATCAGAGGATGCCAGTGCCTCACATACAGTCTGAAATCTCTGCATCACCAACCATCCAGAGCTCCCCGCCTTACTGGATGCCAGTGTCTTGCAGATCTTTGTCAATTTTCTGGGATAAAAAGGAAAAAAAAAAAAAACAAGACCAGAGGGGCCTGATGGCGAGTTGTCCTTAAAGTAAGTTTCTGGCTCTCAGTACTATTGTATAATGACTGATTATTAGACAACCAAAGTTTTATGGGCTGTGTTTATCTTATCAACGTATTTGTTTTAGCCATTTGTAGTGGCAAACTAAGCTGGAATCACACACTCTATAGCAAATGGTGCACTGTGATAACTGTAGCCTTCAACATTTTATGTTGTAGTACGAAACTTTACCCTTTTCCAGCTGGTAAGGCTAATATCACCATCTACTGATGATATGTAGCCAGAGCATGTGAGTGGAGCAGAGTGGGTGAAAATTTCTGCTCCTCGCTCGCAGACCTGTCACTTTGCGCCGCTCGTCCACTCTGCTTGGTTCTGCACATTCTTCGCTCCGCTGGATGGAATACGGTGAAACCATGGCTTCTCTTTCTTTCTTAAACAGCCACCAAAAACACAAGCACATACCATTTCTGAAGTACTGGTATTTTCGAAAGTAACATGTCTTTTTTGCATGACCTCGCAACAGCGGAGTAATACAGTCCACGGCTATGGCGGCACAGTAATACAGAAGTTTTAAAGAAAAAAAAAGAAAAAGTAAATGGTTGTCTGGCAGTTGTGAGAAAAGCAGTGAAAGCCGTCCACTTAGACTGACAGTGAATTTTTCATGTAGGCTTCTATTTTGGGTGGCTAAAGTTCGATTTGGTGTCAACCCCCCTTCACAACATTGTATTGCGGAGCTTCTGGGGTGCTTGTCCCGTCTGTTTCTGCAAACAGGAAGTGCACTGACCGCCATCTACTGAAGGTTACACACTGACTATAGATAAGTACCTCATACAGCCTCACTTCAAAAATCCTGAACAATCCCTTTAAGTTCGGCACTTTGACATTTTCTAATGCTATACAGAAATTATGTTTTAGAAACAACCAAAGATATGAATATTAATTGTGTTAAAAGGGCCAGCTGCTTCTCACATCATTTGGGTTAAAAATATTTTTTAAAATCATAAACAAATGAGAAAAACACAACTGTTTCATCTTTTAGTGAAAATATATTCAACTTTCCAACACTCCTTAAAGCAGCAGTTTATGAAATCACATTAGTTCTGCCTGTGTAATTCCTACTTGGTGCATGTCTACAAACTGTCTAACAGTCCTGCATCATGACGTGAACGGAAAAAATGCAAGATGATCTTGCTTGAATAACCAATATTGTGGAGTGGGCCACATATAGTTTTGAACAATAAGCCACAGGCTGTTTAAAATCTGTCTGTGGGCCACAATTGGATAGATTTGGATGTGCCTGTGCTAAACTAAGCTAACCTGCACCAAGCTCTAGCTACATATTTAGCTTACAGACAAAATAGTTGTATCAATCCTCTCATCTAACTCTACCAAGAAAGCTAATGAGTGTATATCCCAAAATGTCAGACTATTTGTTTATGGTGGAATGCTGTATTGGGTGGGCATCCACCACCACCACCCCCGACATGCATAGAGCATCTACACAGGTAATAAAGAAAAGGTCCCTTCAGGCTTCAGATCTGTGCTCTATCTTGCCGTAAAAGCTACAGGGGTCGTGAAATAAAAGCTGTCACTTGTGTGAGGACTATATCAGTATTCCAATGGGGAAGTGGGGCGTTTTAAGAGGCTGTAACTGGCGTGACGGATGATTAGGCAGCAGGGCTGAGGTCAATTATCTTGCAATTTACATCATTCAGGAAGTGATTTGTCAGGAGAACCATTCTAGCTGGGTGGCTTTTACTTATAATGAAATCATAAAGACTGAAAAGTCTATGATTATGATGACTCGGTGCCTTGGAGTTTAAAGTGACATTTTTGAATGTGCTGAATTAAGTGCAGCATTTGTGTAGCGCAAGGAGAAAAAACTGTTGGAAAGATAATAGATATATGATTAACACAGAGTGACACAATTCAGCGGTCTTGAAGTGGGTAAAAGAGGCCACCATGCATGCAACACCAATCATTATGTTGTGTGGTGAAAAGGAACTACTCCTATTGTGAATTATAGGTGTGAGATTTGCACTTTCCAGCCAAGTCAAAAACTGCTGCAACTTTGAAAATCTATTTAAGTTACTGGCACACTGGTTGTCTCATTAGATCTAATGTTATGTATACAGTTTTGTTGTTCTTAAATTTCTTTAACAAGCTTTCCGAAGTTCTTCTGGCTTGGCGGGAAAGCAGCGACACGCGCACAGTGAGGGGAGGAGTCTCACCGACAGTGAGGGATCGTGGGAAGTGTAGCTGGCCCAACGTTCATTCTCCAGCTCCTCCATCACCTACAGCATGCACAGAGAGAGTGGGGGGCGGGGGGAGGGGAGGGGTGAGGGGGTTATACACATGTTGCAAACAGGCACATGCACATACTGTACTGCACAAACTGGAATTAATGTGTGAAAGGATTTAAATGCACACTCACACACACGCACACTCCAAACAGTTGTATGTATGAATGCACTCACAAACATTTATCACACACTGTTTCACACTTGCCTACATGAAACAAGTCAGGCAGAGAGGAGAGGCTTACACACACACACACACACACACACACACACACACACAAACAATATATACACTACACGTACACATATTTTCCAACACTCAGACAAAACACACCTGGTTCATAGCGCTCTTCAGCCAGGTATCCACAGCAACCCCTACTTGCCGCAGAAGGTCCAACCGAGCCTCGGCTTTTAATTTTATTGTCTTTGGAGAGAGAAGAGGTTAGCAATGTTAGAAACATCTAATATATCAGAGTTACACAGTTTTTCTGGCATCAGTATTAAAAGGAACATCACTTTTTTTTTTAACTTTTACAACCATATACTGTAAAAAAGGGACCTATTTGAAATCTGTCTGAGTGCCATCATTTTTAATCGCTGTCTTATAGAGTCACTGTGTGCCCATATCACCACGCTTAACCTGCTGAGTAAAATCTTATCACAACTATGACACAACTATGAAAATAAGAGCTTGTAAAAAATGTGATTAAATTTAAATCAGCAGAGGTAAAAGCCTAAAATGTCTCACTGTGGGTCGAGAGTGCCAGAAGGCTCCTTACACTGAACAGATGAAAGCTGGTATTCACCAGCCTTATTACTGGGACTACAGCAGTTGCAGTCAATTTGGTCTCCAGGTTGCAAAAGTGCTTTATATTCATTCAGCAGTGGCAACCTCTTTCCCAGTGACAGACATCACTGTGTACAGTGAGCACCAAGATTGAAGCCATTTCTCATATATAATTGGTTTTTAAAGTTATGCAGGGAGTAGGACCTCAGGTGACTCTGTATGCCAGAGCAAACGTTACGATAAGCAACTGCCGAGTCGTGATACACCTCAATAAAGTGCAATGGGGATGGTGTTTTTTGTAGGCCAGCTGGAAAGTTAACATCGCCCTGGTTTATTTGACAAAAAGCAAGTGAGAGTTTTCAACAGGATTTCAGATAATTGCAGAAAATACAATCTGTGGCGAACAACAGTTGAAGGAATTTATACGTTTTGTTCAGCAAGATAATCTTTACAAATGAACACCACCTTTATGATTCTTTCAGGGTCCAGTGTTTGGGATTTAGGGGGATATATTGGCATAAATGGACAGAGAACTGTTTTGTTTTTTGTTATCTTAGAATAAGCTGTTTATATCTACAATCCGTCTCCTCTATGGAGTCCGCCATGTTGCACAGCCATGTTTCTCATGGCCAAGACGGGGAAAAACAAAAACTGGCTCTAGATAGGGCCATTTGCGATTTTGCGGTGGCCACCATAGCTCGTATCCCTCTGCGACAAGAGCATTGGAAACATCCCCCCCCCCCCCCCCCCCCCCCTTTTTTTTTTATAAACAAGATACTGCTTTATTCTGAGACCTCTGTGGGTAACTAATAATAATAATAACTTTTTAAATAAAATCTCTAGAACCTAACCAGGACAAATTTCATGTGGTTGCAATCTGCAGTCCTCACTGCTAGATTCCACTAAATACCTTAAGTTTACAAGATGTTTCTTTAAGTGTACATGCAAAGACAGCAAGTAAAATCACATATTAGGCTATAGACAATAGATGCTATAGACGTTCGCATGACTTCAGTGTTTTTACCACAGGCTGTAAAGCTGTGTTTCGCTATATAACAAAAAGTGTCTCGGTTCCTGGATTGAATTGAGTCAAAATCATATCATGGTGTAAAACAAAATGTGAAAATCTTTCAGTGTATTGATCATGGCTGTCATTTTAGGCATCCGACTGTCACAAACTGGCTCAGTGAATGTGACAATGAGGAAGTCCACACAAAAGATTCACTTAAAACGAGCAGAATTTATTGAACTAAATTTAACTTAAATAATGAATGGAGTGTGTAGGTCAGCAAAGTCAGTTATGAAAGCCATGCATGGGTGTGTGTCAGGTGTGCTGTGGAGGTGCTGAAGGTGCAAAGCACAAACAATGATGCCCAGTGAATGTCACCTGAAAGAAGGGAGAGGCCAAGTTTTATAGCCTCAAGGCCCAAGTGAGCCTAATCAAGGTAACGCCCCTCCCATGTCAGCCAGCTGCCTGATGGGAGGGGCATCACACAACCAAAGCCCATTCAAAAGACCCACTGACTTCAAAAGCTGCAAAAATGCTAACTCATTCCTGCAACACTCCACTACAGAGTAAGGATGTGAACTGCATTTGCACCCCAGAATGTGTCATGTGGTCTTTTAAATGGCAACTCATCAATTCTTGCTGTACTTTGTTTTATAATGAGCCTCAAACACTGGGCATGTGCCGTGTTATTTCCTAATGAGACAATATGATCAGGCTATAACCACCAGTAGGAAAACCCCTGAGATTTACATCCATTCTACCTCGTCTTCCCAACTCTTTCATCTCTCATCCTTTCTCTTTTTTCCTGCTGTCTCTCACTGTTTTCATCAATTTCCTCTTTCATTACCCCCGTCTTTCCTTTCTCACAGATGCTGACAGAGCAGATTGATAGCTGATAGCTGCCTCCCACAGAGACGTACTGTCAGACAAACAGAAGCACACTGTCGAGACAGACTTCCTGGCTTTGATCAATAAAGACCTGAGCCCCTTAAGTGCCTCCATTTTTTTCTTTCCATTAGCAGCACCCAACAAATGCTAAAGGTTGCTGCTGGACCATAAACATACCAGAATAAAGAGGAGAAAAGTTTAAAAAGATGGGTGATATATTTTCAGCCATCTGTGCAGCAGGAGTCAATAGAATAAGGAGGCAGTGGTGTGAGTATAGATCACTGGTGGATAGACTGTACAACCTCAGAGAGACAGTCCAGCTGGGCAGTAGCACCAATCAATAAAACAGACAAAGGTAGGCAGAAATACAGATGGAGAGACAGACAGGCAAAGAGATTCGTCTGGCTATAACTACCATTGAATTATTCTAAATTAAGGGACCACTTTTTTTAATATGACTCATTTGAAAGCAGACGTTGAACATTAAGAATTTAGCTGCTGCAGCGCTCAAAAGATGACGACAGCAGCTGAACTCATCATAAAAAGCGATGACACATGAGATCCATTTGAAACTAGGCAAATATAAGAAGCTACACAGTGTGGGAACTGATTGGTCTGCTGTTTTTATCGACAAGATATGTGCACTGTACTGTAATGACCAAAGATATGCTACATGTGAACACACCCTTATGACTGTGCCCGTGCTCTGTATACCAAAGGTAATTAATATGCCAATGCTGATTAAATTGTGCCTACATTATGAGCGCACACTTCTAATCAATTTTCCGATCCTTATTAGCTCTGTTTGCTTGTGCTGGAAAGTATCTGGGTGCACAATCTTTTCTCTGTCTTGATGCATCTGCTGTCTGAAGCATTTGGATGCCACGTGTTAATGAGGCCAGATTGTCTGGTGAAGCCAGTAAGAGAACAGCCTTCAACGGCTCATTAGTATGCAGACACCCTCTTGCCTCACTCTCTCATCCTCTGAGAAGTCCTTAGAAAGAGGAAAACAGCAGAGAAGAGGCCAATAATTGTTTAATATCAATGTGGGAAATCTCAGATGGAACTTCTGCTTGATTTTAAAATATGCTGCGAGAGCGGAAAGACAAAAACAGACTCTGTATATTAAGTTAGCAGGATCAATTTTTGAGTTTGCTGCTAAGTTTAAAGCTTTAATGCATAGATTTGTTCGTAAGACTTAGGGGAAAATTTGTATTGACTTCAACTACAACTGGATGGTCCTTCATTTCCATTTACTTTATATATTTGTAGGATAAGTACTGCAGATGCAATTTGCTTCAAATTTCACACCTTCTAAGACTCAAATTGATTTTTTTCCTCAAGAAAATATGTGCATCGCTTTAGTCTAGTGCCTTTTTTCTCCTCTTGATTTCCCTTCATCTCTGAAGCATGTTATTCAATAGAAACAAACGCTCCACTAGAGTGTACAAGGCTGGCCTGGAGCACACTGTCTTCACATAGAATTTATAAAATAATTTAAAATACATTTAGTTTTATGCTCTGAAAATTTTTCCCTGACTTCAATCACAGCATGTATCACTTACTAATGATGATAAATTTTTTGTTACAGTAATAAGTGTTGAAGTGATTTCAGGAAAATGCACGTACGGCCTCTGGTTTTGGTATCCAGAGTCTTTTATCAAGCACTCAGCCAGAGGCCATAAAATCAGACGCTTGTAGAGAGCAGAGGATACATAACTCTACTCTTTCTTTCAGTGTTTATTGATTCCATTCAAACAGAGGCGAGAAAAAGAGGATGCTTCTAAAGATTGAGGTGCGCACTGTTGAACACTGCGGAATAGATTTAAAGGCATAAAACATTTAAACAGTTTGATTTCTCTTAGTTCTCGTGCTCCTTTTTCTTAAAGCGACAGTTCAGCCCCAAAATTAAGAAAACCGATTTTTCCTCTTACTTGTGCTAGTTATCAATCTGGATTGTTTTGGTGTGAGTTACTGGGTGTTGGAGATATCGGATGTCTGGATGTCTGCCTTCTCTTGAATACAATGGAACTAGATGACACCAAAAAACAGATTTGAAAAACACAACAGCAATGTCTCTTTCCAGAAATCATGGCCTGGTTTCTCTTAATACTCATAATATATATAATAATCCACAAACCTTGTTGTGAGCAGTTTCTTGTAGGCACTATTATCTTTCTACAGACTACACCCGCCAACTATATCACTGCACAGATGAAAGTGTGTATCTACTGCTAGCTCACCTAGCACCACTTAGCTATCTGATGTTACGATCTCTGCTGAGGAGGACGACATTAATGATTACATCTCACACTACCATAAGCGTCTCTTCCATGAGTAGATGCACAATTCCTTCTGCGCAGTAATATGATTGCCGGGTGTAGTCTGGGTCTGTGGATTATTATTTATATCATGGCATTAATGTTTATAACTCACGCTGTCACGAGCACGAGTCACCGTGAAACAGCCTGTACGTGTGGTTCAATAAATAACAAGAGTTCCTCCATGAAACTGCTCACAACGAGGTCTGTGGATTATCTTGAGTAACTGTGTCATGATTTCTAGAAAGAGACATTGCTGTTAAATTTCGGAAATATATATTTATGTTTTTGGCAATTTCAGCACTAAATTTGAGAGAAGGCAGACATCTCTACAACCGATATCTCCAGCACTCTGCAACTCACACCAAAACAATCAAGGATGATAAACAGGTAAAACAGTTAAGAAGAAAAATTTGTATTTTTGACTTTGAGGTGACTGTATCTTTAATTTGCAATTTGATTTTGTACAACAGGGTGGACATTTTAATTTCAGATTTGTAATATTTATTTTGATAGTCTTTTGTGACCATATTACAAAAATTTAAATTCCATCTCACTCCTCCCCAGTAATGACATAAACACTACTCAATCCAATGTCTCTATTTATGTCCATAAAGGCAACAGCCTCCCTGGCTTTTCCACATATTCTTCAAATAACAGTGGCTAATAAACAGCTCTGTACGCTCTTAAAAGTTGTACATGATTCTAGGCATGTATATTTATGTTTCCTGCATCGTGTTTTCCATAAACTATCCAGATACAAAAAATTGTGGGACAAGACAATTACTAAAACTTTAAATAAAACTATCTTGAATAACCCTAAACACTGTATCTTTCTCATGGATTCGCCTGCAGTTTGACATGCACTAAATGGTCACACTTTTAGCACAAACAGCACATCGACTATAATCACTGACTCTGAAATTAAGTTGGCCGTCAAAGCGTTTAAGATGTTGTCACAAGCAAATTAGGCAATTTATTTAAAAAAAATTAGTTAATGAGGACAGGCAGCAAGGCCAACTATGCTATCAGTCTCTTTTACTGGTGTTTTAGACATGCTGCTTCTCAAACACAAATGAGTTTTTAGCTGATAATGACACCAAGGTTGATACCAAAGTAAAAGCCGGATAATTACCCACTCACACTGCGCATTTCTCCACTAAAGACAGATGCCTAAAAAAATATTTAAATTCACAAACTGACTGTACATGCAAACTTTGACTCTCCATCTTAAATATAAGTCTTGCTTCATTTCTTGCTAATAAGGTGTTAAAATGGTCACTGCAACAATATGCTTAATGGGAGGAAGGTGAGACTTCATGTTAAAGGAAAGAATGATGTAATCACTATCCAGATAATGCTGTAATCAAACCTGCAGAATGTCTTTTGTACTGCTTTCACTCCCTTTATAATCCCGCGATAAGAGCTCTGTGATGAAGCCATTTGTACCAAATGAGCTCATAAAATATTCATCATCATACTCAAGGTAATGCTGGCCTGGGAGAGCAAAGAATAGCAGACAGACAGTGTGAGCAGAGACAGACACAGAGAGGGGAGGAGTGATAGGAAAGAGGTGGTGCAGTCGCATGTTTGCACTTTGTGATAAAAAAGACTCCTATTACTTTGTAGAAAGTGAGATCACAAGCTACCCATAGTGTTGTGAAAATATTCTCGCAGTGTAAGGGAGACTAAAATAGCTACCCAAAGCATGTCTACCGATGAAAGCAGTGAGATTACTTGAGATATGCTTAAACGAGAAAGTGTAAAAACCCCTCAGGGGATGGAAAGAAGAAGTAATGAAATAGTGGTCACACAGAGAGGTAACACCAGAAGTGAAATGTTGCTTGACCGAACCTGACAGCAGAGGGTGCCAGATATGTGAAAGCTCGATTAGAAAGGTTGTGTGGAGACAAGAGGCCGTGTTGGAGAGAGAATGAGCAAAGTGAAACAAGAAAATGCAATTGAGGAACTGACATGAAAAGCAAAAAGATATAGAGACCTTGGAAACAGAACAGAGACAGAATGGAGTTCAGAGGAATGACAGACGATGCAGTGATCTCATTCATACTGTGAATCAAGAATCAATACATAAATGATACATATCTCGGCGAGTGGAAAGGCTGAGGGGTGCAGAAGGAAAAAAGAGAACACAAGATGAGCAAGAGGCTGATGAGGAGGGAAAGACAGGAGTTGAAGCTCAAAGAGCAAGACATAAAAGCAAAATGGCAATCATAGCATCTGATGGTTTGGATATCATCACTCAGATTGTTATAGGTGCAATGCTTACACACCTTTATAGTGTCACACTGAGTTACTGACAGACAGACATAACTGACAGACATAACTGTGTAAAGTGTGTTTAAACCTCGAAAGCCGAACAGAATGCAGCAAAACCAGGGGATTACCGGGCCTCGTGGATAACAATGGTCAATTACTTGATTGATTTGACGTCTCCTGAGATGTGAAAGGTGTACTGATCGATCCCGGCCCGTGTTTGTTAATTTCACCCTGCCTCGTCAACCATGCAGATGGGGCAGACTGAAATGCCAGCTACCGCTGTTTGCATTTAAAATATTTACCAAATAATTAGTCAGGCAGCCCAAACACTGGGTGGAGAGGAAAACTGGGAGGGGGGCTGCATTTTGTGTTGTCACAGAAACAGAGGGCTTGTTTGTGATGCTGCAGCGATATTACAGCAGAGAGGGAGTCGATGACAATATGCAACGTTTACTACTGTTGCGTCAACATGTACCACAGATTTTACAGTGTATATTTTAGGGAAGAATGAAACATTTGTCATTTACTACAAAGACACACTCCCCTTTTTCCCCTTAAACACATCATTCTCTGATTGTAGTGACCAGCCACTCCATTTTACTCGCATGAATGTTAGGGGTGTAATGGTACAAAGTTTGATGTGAGTTTGCTGCATATGGATCTTTCTTTTCAGTTACGCTGAACAGACATTGGCGCAAGTGTCAAAGACTCAGAATTCTCTTGATGAAATATTTTCAGTATTAGAATAATGACCATTTTAAACACGTGTGTATTACACTGTCGAACACTGAACCAACACCTTCCTGAAAGGCAACGGGTTACTACAGGCTATAAAACTGGAAAATATCTCTTATGCTATCACGCTGAAAACACAACATAAAAATAAAACAATACAAAATACTTAATTATTTGAAGCAGTGTTTTAAATAGTACCACCATGGCTATATACCTATGTAAATGCCAAGTTTCAGTAGTTGTTAAATGCCAATCTGCTTTTACATCTAGAGGCTGCGTAAAAGCAGCCAGGATAAGGAGATGGACTCTAGTTTGTTCCTTCTTCATCCTGGCACATCTGGATGATGCCATCAAATAGGTGTTAGCATGTTGGATGTGATTCTGTTTACATACCCTACAGCGGAGGCGCAATGCCGACATGATGTTCTCATCTCATAGACTCATAACTCTTTCTCCGGCTTTCTCTTATATTACAAAAATAGATCACTGAAATGTGTTTCTGAAAACATCAGAGGTGAGAAAGAAGCCATGCAGCTGCTGATTCTGTCTTTAATTTAGATCAGTATTGGTTAGTTTAAAAATTTTTCATGAGGCTCCAGAGGCAGTGAGTGGCACCGGGTGACCCTGATCTGTATAAAGTAGCCTAGATACAATTTTACGCAAATAAAGGGTGGATGCCCCAACTATCAAAATGCAACACACTACTAGAAAGCATTTCATGGTTGCTAACATTAAAAAAATGACAGAAACGGGGCGTCGGTAGCTTAGTGGATAGTGCCGGCGCCCCCATGTATAGAGGTGATGCCTTGCTGCAGCGGTCGTGAGTTCGACTCCAGCTTGCAACCCTTTGCTGCATGTCCCCCCCCCCNCCCCCCCAACTCTCCCTCTCTCTCCACACCTCACAATCCTCACTCTGTCCTGTCCATTAAAGGCAAACAGCCCAAAAAATAATCTTAAAAAAAAAATGACAGAAATGACGGATAGTATACTACTATAACCTCTAACAGTTTTGCTAACAGTGCACAGCTTGTAAGTTTTTATGCAGCGCTCATGCTTGTGAACTTTGGCTCCACATTATGTACATCAGTCTACATACCGTACATTCTGTGTGGCTGCGTGCACCGAGCCATGGCTGTACAGTCACAGTTTGGCGCAAATACCCAAATAAATACATACATTCAAGATTGTTTACTGAAGATTTGTTAGAAGATAAACATCCATCTTTAATTTCAGAGAGAGAAGAAACATCTCAGATGAAACCCATAAGTACATAAGGAGAACATGCTAACGTCACACAGGAAGGGTTGATCTGTGTTCAAAAATAAATGTCAACAGAGTGAGTCACTTACCTCAGCTTTGCGAATGTTTTCTTTGGTGTCTTCTATCTTCATCTCCAGATCTAGTCTCCCCTGCTCTGTAGGGGGCAGGCCGTGACTCTCACACTCCTCCAGACACTGAAAACAACACACACAACTTGATTAGATATAGTCTTTTAAACATTGTAAATTTCCTAAATGGGTATATGTGGCAGATGTGATCATGTGTGTGTCCATCTTACTCTCTTGTAATGTATGATGTTCTTGTGTTCTCTGGCCACTCTGGTTGCCCACTTCCTGGCCTCCTTGTTCAGACTGTGCTCCTCCGTCGTTCCCGTCTCCGACTCCAGCTGACGACTCTAATGCAGACAAACACACACATACACACACCAGACACGCATGGGTAAACACACACATTTACCCAGCCCCACACACACAAGCATGGCACACATACACACGCGCACACATAAGTACACCGTGAGCAGTAATGGTACAAGGTGTGTGATATGCAGAAGCTGTTAATTGAACTAGAGAAAGTGTGAGAGAAAGATTGTTTCCTCCTCACATAATTAATACAGCGTGCTTTGCAAAGCTCTATTGTTATACTCTTGGAATGAAATAGCTGCTATTAAAACCACATGTGAAAGAGCATGAGTGTGTGTTTTTGTGTGTGCTACTAAGTGAGGGAGCAGTGGTACAAGGCAACAGGCCATTTTAAATTTTCTTCTTTTTTCTGACATACAAAAGCAGCTATGTGAGCCTTCAACACTAATTATAAGCAGGTGGCAGTTTTTCTTCAGAGGCTAATGTATTAAATGTGTCTTTGAGTTCAAAGTACACAAACCTAGTCATTAATCCACCATTTGTCAGGGACAAAACCAAACATTAAACATTATTCTTACGATAAGAAATGGGATCCAACATGAATGCACGTTTTTACGTTTGCACGTTACGAATGTTTCGATTATTTCACATGGCAGATGTCTGTATTACTTTCTTCCTTTATTCCTCACTGATTTGAAGTGGGCAGGGCTTAGCTGGAAAAAGGTGGTGTCACGTATGTCTGTGTATTAGTCAGAATTCAACAGCCTTAGAATCTTACTTTGGGTTGTTTGGTCACTGTAAATAGACCTTTAATGCAGCAGACATTTTGACATGTCATAGTAGGAAAAGCACAGGTGTATTCAATGACATTAATGACAGCTGCATTCCACTTAAAGGAGGTCCATGCTTGCCCTCTTGAATAGCTTACTGGGACACTTAATGGAACTAAGCCATCATTAATGTTATCAGTTTGACCTGATTTTCCTACTATGACAAGTCAAATTGGTTTTTGTTTTTCTAATTTAGTTACATTTCCCCTAACTGCTTATCCTGTTGGGTGTCACTTGGGGGCTGGAGCCTATCCCAGCTGACGTTGGGCGACAAGCAGGGTACACCCTGGACAGGTTGCCAGACTATCACAGGGCTGACACATAAGCCCCTTTTACACTGCCAGATTTTCTGCGAATGTTGGGCCGTTTTGCCGGCAAGCTGCGAGCGTTTAGACACACAGAGGCGGATTGGCGAGTTGATCAGAGGTGCCCAATTTTCCGCCTCGTAGGGTAGTCATATTGGTGGAACCCTTTTAGTTTAAACAGACCGAGGCGGCCTTCTGCAGCAGGAGGGGCTGTTGAAGACTTGTGGGAGGAGCGGTTGATGACGCTGCACGTGCGATCCACCGGCAGTGGATAAACAGGAAACAGATGATAGCAGTTATGAGCAGCTAGTAGCAAGAGGGAAACGCAAACCTGACAGACACTGTAAAGATGAGCAACTGGGGAGACAAGGAATTGCGGGCCCTCCTTGTCCTCGCAAAGGAAGAGGCCATTAACCGTCAGATGACGGGGACGGTGAAGGATGGGCCAACTTATGAGAGAATCGCTGAAGGACTGACTAGCCGCGGCTTCCCTCCCACGTCACTGTTTACGTCACACGCTGAGCTACACGTTTTGTTACTTGTTCACGCCCCCCATTGCCCCGAAAAAGGCACATTCTGTATAAACAAAAGTAGGTAGGCGGCATTTTGCTGCACTCCCCGATTTTGTTTTTATACTGCCAATGCTGAAAAAAGACTGATTGGGCTTTCCTGCAAATTTGCACAATTCCTATCTAAAAAGGGCTTTAAAGACAGACAACCATTTAAGCTCATGTTTACACCTACGGCCAGTTTAGAGTCACCAATTAACCTGCATGTCTTTGGACTGTGGGAGGAAGCCGGAGTACCCAGGGAAAACCCACACTGACATGGGGAGAACATGCAAACTCTGCACAGAAGGGCTCCCCCAACCCTAGGGTTTGAATCCCCCACCACACTTCTAATCCGGAACCCTCTTGTTATGAGGCAACAATGCTAGCCGCACCACCATGCTGCCCAAGTCAAGACGTCTACTGTGAAGAAGGGCCATCCATTTCTGACCAAACAACACCCACTCAGTCCAGATGAAGCACATTAGCTGCGTTTTTAGGGTACGATTCTTTGTAAATGATTCTTCTAAGTTTTCTTTACTTTGACTGTACAACAGACTTGACGCTAAGTTTTCAGGGCTTTAAAGGAACGAAAGATTAGATTGTTTAGCTGTCGTAAGTGTTCTGAAGAAACTGCTTGATTAAAGTGGAAAAACGTCATTTCTGTCATTTTCTTTCACAATATTTATACTGTATATAGATATATCTATAAATCTTATTCAAAAACAAAATGCCATCTGTACATTTGCTGCTTTCTGCTTTCGTTTCTTTATCAAAATCAATTTCTCCAAAGGTCAGTTTAATGAAAATAATGTTGTCGTTGTTTTTCTACTTAAATGTGACTCTGATTTGATGTTTTTTTTAATTGCTGTCTACCATAAATATGGGTCATACAGTGTTAAAGAAACAAAAAGGATACCTTTTAGTGTGTAACCCTGTAAACTTGTCATCCCAGTTGCTTCATTTTGTACAGTATCTGCAGCGTACACTGTTTCAAAAATCTGCAAAAATGTTAAGTATGACATCTATTTTGGCTTTAGGCAGAGACAAAATGTTACTTCCAACAAAAACAAATTGAGCCCACATACATTCAGTGTCACTGATGAGTGCTCACAGACCTGAAAGGCTGGGGTTCCCATAATCTGATAATAAAAGTGTGTTCGCTAGACTACGGTACACGATATTTTAATTGCAAGTTTCCATGCACATCATATCTATTAATTATGTGCTGCTTCAGTAACAAGAGGGCATAAATCTGGCTAAGTATAGGTGTGAAATGAAGAGTATTACATGGGAGATTTACAGCTTAATTACATTCGGGCAAGGGAGGGAGCTGAGGCAGGGAGGCAGAAAACTAGATTTGAGCAGTGGCTCTTAGCTGACATATTGTGAGAGAGAGCTCAGCAAATTGGGCCTTGATAGCTTATTGGTATAAGGTTAATAGAGTAAACAGAGTAAATAAGCATTTCTTTCAGGTGGCCAACAAGCGTCTATATGAGGAAAATGCGTATGCAGGGATGCAAAACACTTTAAATCTTCTCCTTGCAAGTGACCTTTATGAGACTTTGTGTGATGTTGTTAGTTTCCACTCCACATTCTGCATTTCAGCTTTATGTTTAAAGCCTAAAGCATGCTGGTGAGACCCTAAAAGTCTGGGAGCACCTTGAAAGGTTCGGCTGGTCAAGTGTGGACGTTTAGCACACATAGCCAGTGTTAATCAGATCTCATGCCAAATATTAATTCATCAAATCAAGCTCTCAAACTAATGTAGATGTGATAACAGGCAAAATTACGGATAGTCAGTCTTCCAGCTCAGGGAAATGTTAAGTACAGCACAGTGAACTCAAAATGGTGTGATCATCCTGTTCTTCAATAACAACCTACACCATCATAATAACAGTCATTCAGAGGACTCTGCAGAAAAACTGTGTTATTCTGAAACCACAGGGATGAAGGGGTGAGAATGAACCGTGTCAGCTGTTGTAGCTGTCTCTCAGAATGACACTACAGCGTATGCTAGTAGGAAAATACTAATTTAAATGTCTAAACCCTTGAGGTCCAGGGTTCCTACACATTTTCCATTTCAAAGTTTCATACTTTTCCAGACTCCTCTGTAGATGTTTCAGACCATATTTGACATCTGAGTACAAATGGCCAGCCCTCGGAAAATGTGCATTAACCAAATGTGGCTGTTCACTCCGCAGTCCTACGCAGAAGGCTGGATAATGTGCCACTGTGGAACATCTCTGCCCAAAGAGTAATCTATCTATCTATGCGCATACCATTTTCCCTTAACATATTTAAGAATTGATTTTGGTGAGCTTCGGTGGCTTGGTCATTAGAGCAATAGCCCCATTTTCAAAAGGCTTTACCTTTGCCGCAGCGGCCCAGGTTCGACTCCAGGATGCAGTCCTTTGCTGCATGTCATCCCCTCTCCCTCTCCCCCTTTAACGCTACATTGTCAGTTAAAGGCAAAAATGCCCAAAATAAATCTTTAGAGAAATAATTTTGGTGTCTTTTAGAATCAAGAACTAAAAAAGAGTTTAAAAAAGTTGAATAATTTAATTACATCACCGTATATATTAAAAAAATGTTCAAGTAAGCTTAACATTTGGTCATCTGTGATGCTATGTGTTCACGCAAGTCAAAATACATTTTCTTTCAAACTAATTTGGGCTTGGATGTCCAGATTTGGTTGTCAGGTTTCTTTGTCAGGCCATGGTATCCAGGCGTATAGGCAGCTCTGCGTAGGTGTGTGCGCTCAGTCATACACCATACTTCTTGCCATGCTTTTGATGACATCAAACTCACTCTGGCCCGCACTCTCTCACCAGTGGTAAACATTTTGGCTGCCTGCTCCAAATTCCACGAAAAACACTCTGCTTGTATGATCAATAATTTTTAGAGATTCTGAATTTTGTTTTGTAGAAACAAGAATGCAGGTAATAGTCTGGAAACACAAATATTTTCTATCCCCTCACTCTAATCACTTGCTGACAAGCTTCATTATCATGTTACTGCAAGGCAAAAATGCCCAAAAAACTAAACCCAGTGGTGGTTTTGCCACTGTAAGAAGCTACTACTGTCTTTTCTAAAGCATAATTTCACACGTCATCTGCTCCCATTGTATTTTTTTTTGTTTTCTTTGTTTATTTTTTAAAGGATCTCTACAGCTGTTTGACTCATATGATACATCACATTAAACAGCACCTGTACCACACTTAAGTCAAGGCAGCCTTATTTGTATGTGAGCTGTTTTAATGGATTTTTAAAAGCAGCAGGAGACGATGATTTCAAGGTGTCTGCACAGCCTGCAGTTGAACACACAGCAGTGCCTTCTGACTGTCACGAATGCATTGCTATGGTTAGAATACGACAAAAAGAAAGCTATCTTAATAAACCAGAATAGACTGCCTATCTTAAATCCCTAATCCACTTTAATTTTATTCTTAGTTTTAGTATTATTTAACATCCTGTGCTTGTGCAGCCAATATTTTCTCTTTTATAGGCTTCTGCTTGCAGATGCAGACACTTAAAAGGATAAACCTCCTTATTATTCAGACAGAATTTACCCACACAACACTTTCACTCATTCACATTCTGCAACAGCTTAATTTTGGTGTGGTGATGTAATTAGGATGGGCTAACACAGACTCTAAGAAAGAAAATATACACATACAAAGACCAAAAAGAAAAACAAAACAAGTACAGAGATGATCCTTCTGCCTGCGATGACTGCAAATGTGCAAATAAAAATCAGACACACACAACATTTGGCCCATTTATCTGCAGGAGGGCGATGATAGCGTAGTGATATTTCAGACGATGATGCAACAGCAACAAGGTTACGGCATCTGATAAGTCATCTGGTGCTGGAACTGCATTGCTCACCAACAGATGACAGTATCAAAGCATTGCAGTGCTGCAGAGTGGTATTCAATAATCCAGAATATGCAGCTCCCTTGTTTCATTACCGTGGAGCAACGAGATAATGCAGGGTATTACAGCTCTTAGAGTAATAAGACTTTGCACCTTAATACATGTGAAACTGCTGCTGTTCTTAACTCTGGTCTGATTTTTCCGTTGTTGCATAAAAGAGAGGCTACACTCGAGTTACAACTGAGATTATGACTAAATATCCATCTAACATCAATATTTTGGAGCCTCACACGCATTAGGTTTAGTTTAATTGATTACATCAGTAATGAGCATGATGTCATAGGTGTAACTGTAGCCACGCCTGTGTGGTTACACTGCCGCATGCAACAGTCACGGTCATCTTACTATGACAAACGACCACAGGGATTCTGATAACTAGCACCTTGATATAATGTTTACATAAATCAAATTAGATAGGAACATCTGTTCTTAAATATCTCACATGTTCATGCTCATAGTCTCTTCTGTAAAAAGTCTTTGTGTCAATGCAGGCTAGACATGCTGTAATGGCTGCATTGCTTTCTGTTTAGGTAGAGGGATTGGTCCACTCTGTTTGCCAGGCAGGATGTTTGGGATGTAAAGGTTATTCCAGTTGACCTATACTGCATTACATCTGTCTGTGGTCAGTCAGGGTTAAGTCATGAAAGAAAGCACTGTCCACCTTAGCGCTTGGTGCTCAAGCAGTCCAGGGCTTCTTTTGGGAGAAGTGGTTATGTATAGTGACCAAAGTGTCATGATCACAGCCAGATGGCCCCTTAATGAATGAGAGTAATCATATTAAAGGAATAGTTCAACCTCAGATGATCATTGTATGCCAGTAAGTCATCCTGTGAAAACTTTGTTTTTCTCGCATGCTTTCATGGTGAATGAAGAATCCAAAAACTGAGAAAATTGTTGATTAATTTAAGTCAGTGGTTTTCAAACTTTTTGTGTCCAGGGCACACCAAAGGGCAAACCAAATCTCAAGGTACACCTGAGCACAAAAGCTTCCATAACGTGTGTTATCACTCTTATCACAACAAAAGACAATAAAAACAAGAAAAAATAAGACAGGTAGCTTTCGTGATACTGTCTACTGACAGGTGGTCTTCGCTGGTGCTCCGTACAATAAAGCAATCCATTGTCCCACTCACGGCTTTCTCCTTTTAAATGATATCATCCCTCACACTGGCTGCCAATCAGGACTTCTGATGTGTCACAGACTTATGATTCCCGCAAACGGTGACAAATGGGTTCCTCGTGAAGGTTTTTTTTTTTTAATTTTTTTTTTTTTTTTAATTCAATTAATTTACATTTTTTAGCTACAGTTTTCCTCTTAATTAGCAACTGGGTGCACACAACATACTGATACAGTCAATTAAAAATCCATTCATAACTTTTTGTATAGGCCCAGTTGAATTTTGCCATAATAATGTGTGGTTATCACAAAATCCCGTGGCACAACTTGAATGGCATTTGAGAAACACTGATTTAAGTCATAGGGGACTGCATTTAACAACTGCAAAACTATATAAAACATCTGTTTGCAAACTCGAATACAACTTGTTCAGTACAATCCAAGTCTCACTTATCCAGTTGTATGCTCAGTGTTTCCCAAACACCTTGCACGAGATAGTCAGGTTTTAAAAATGCATGTGTTTGGGGCGTACTAGGCATGAGACTTAATTCATAAGACTTGGCTTAAACTTCCTGAGTTGTGTGAGAGGTAGTTAAAATCCCCACACATCCATCCTTTCACTGTGGAAGCATAACACAGGGTGAGTAATGTATACACAAATCATCATTTGCAGGTTAACAACCCTAGATTTCTTACCATTTTCAACATAACACAATCTAAATCTGATTTATCTACGACAGGTTTTAATTTGAAAACATGCCAGGATGATCATTAAGTGTACTAGATGCAAAGCAGTGTGCCTGTTACCAGTGTCATACAAAATTTCAATCATAGAACTGCATTATTAAAAGATTTACCAAGGCTTTGTTAGGCAATACATGAGCGTTCAAGCCACTGTCACCAGAACAGATAAATAGATAGACATGAATGAAGCAGATGATCCATGAGTTGTGTCAGGAATGAAGGTGAAGAATGCTAACAACAGTTAAGACTACCTGTGCCAGGGTCATTCTCATGGCACTGACTGGCGACGGCTCAATGTCCACCAACTGCTGCACCGAGCTCAGAGTCTGGCACACTCACACACACACACAGGCAGGCGGCCCACGCATCCAAGAGCAGCAGTGCAAGCACACAAACAGACAAATACAAGGAGGGGTTAATGGAAGAAAAGGTTAGGAAGAAGTGTTAGCAAAGGTTGAACTGGATTAGGAAGACACAGGGAAGGAACAGCACGTTATTGTTTAGAGAAATGCTACCAGTTAAGATCAGAGAAGGAAAATTTAGCTGAGAAAGTGGAAGAAGGAAAGAAGCTGAGAAACAAGAAGAGAGCACAACATGACTCAGACACAAGAGAGAAGGACAGCTATAGAGGAATTAGGACCAATGTCCACTGGGAGACATCTCTTTCTTCACCAGCAGTGCTTAAAAAGTCCTCAGAGGGGTGAGACAGCATGAGTCCCACTGCTGCATTGTGATCACACAGACTTGAGATCAATTTACAACTACTTGAAATATTTTTAACATCCATCTACTTGATTTGACAAAAAAAGTTATGTTACTTTTGTAAATGATGAAACGAAGCTACGACTACAAAGAGAAGCTCCCAGCGGACACTTATCATTTGGCATTAAAACGATTAATATTAGAACACAGAGTAGCTTCATGCTTCTGTCATGCTGTCACCAGACGCTAGTTAACTGGACAACTCCATCCTGAATTGTTAACATAAAGAAATCTCAACAGGCTGGAAACAAAAGAGCCAAAGATCTCTCTGGAGAATAACAATGATCAGAGCTTTGGCTCTCCGGTTTCCAGCTTGGCAAGCCTCTCAGCTCCAGATGTATTAATGGGATTCTCTAAAATCATAAGAGTACATGTACGAAAATTCTGTTAGAGTGATTTAACTGATTGAGATGAGCTAAATACATCAGCCAAAGATATAAAATACAATACTGGACAGAGGAGAAAAGGTGCAAGGAGGGAAAAGCCAACATTTGGCAACACAAGAGGCTGATTACTATCTGTGTGTGTGTGTGTGTGTGTGTGTGTGTGTGTGTGTGTGTGTGTGTGTGTGTGTTTGAAAGAGACAGAACTTCAGAGACAGAGTGACTGTCCTGCCGCGTAAACAGGTTCATACACAAACAATAAAAGCACGACAACAAACTGTGTGTGTCTCACCGTGTCACATTCGCTGGGCTGGAACTGGAAGTCGTGTGCTTTGTGAAACACTGGATTCTCCTGCATGAACAACTGCTGGTTGTACTCTTGTATTATCTGAGAGAGAAACACAGACCGAGATTGTTAATACCGTGTATTTGAAAGCAAGTTTTTTGCTGTAAAAAACAAAACTGTCGATTTTAAATCATTTGAATCCGCAGCCTTCGTTCCACCGAGATGGAGGGAAGTACAAACTTTTTACAGCCGCCTTTCAAGCCTACAGTGGGTGAGTATTTCATATTCACACATATATTTTGGCTTTGATATTCTGCAGATCATTTTAAACAGGTAGGGTCTCTCTAAGTGTGTTTAAGCCCTAAAACCAGTTTCATAAAAGTGCAGACCGGCTGCAGGTGATGGTGTATTGAGAGGCATTGAGCTGCACACACTGTACTGATGAAAACTAATTGCAGGGTGGTGTTTTGGTTATCAATCCATTGTTCTCTCTTTGAGAAGTGTTTGGAGAAGGCCACAAGCTTTTCACAGATGCTCAAACACAACAAACAAGAACACAAAACACGTTACAAAAGTCCAAGGCATTAGTTTTTAATCTGTACTGACAATGTGTCATATTGTAGCTTTTGTCTTCCTTAGAAATGTCTTGTTAGCATTCCTACATCCCTCAATTTGAAATACTTTTAATTAAAATGCTGTATGTGTGATGCTTCCAAGCTCAAGGCAACATTTCCCTGCTGTGTAATGTAAGACAAATAATGCCTAGTAATAACAAATGAACTCAAAATGTCAAGCTGTTGCATTCCTTTCACTGAAGAAAAACACACTGTTGTTGCAAAAAAAAAAAAGAACTTTGATCAGTGTGTGATGTCAAGAAGATGGATGCATACTCCCCCACAGTATCTGAATTGAGACCAAAAAACACTATATTTCCACAAGTACTAACTTACATGAGCACAGACGGTCTTTGTTTCACAATACTTCTGACTCACCCTGGAGGATTTGTCCAGCAGGAACTGGAAGGTGTTGTGTGTGGCTTGCGAGGCCTCTAGCTCGGTACGACTCAGCTCTACCAGGTAGTCTTTCACATGCTCGTAGATCCTGCCGTCCAAGGCCTAGAGGACAGAGAGAGAGAAGGGCCGGGGGTTACAGTGAAGAATGGATTAATTCAATGTCATTCCATAATCCTTGATAATAAAGTGGAGAGTACAAGAGAATCAGGAGGAGACACCAAGAGTGAGACAGACAGATGAGAAAGAGGGTCAAAGAGTAGGTGAATAAAGCCAGCAATATACTACTTTTTCTTTCTTGCAAAATTGTGCCTTGTTTCTCATCATCAAACTTCCAGCAATCATTTAACCACAGCTATTATGTAACTGGGGGCCTGTCTGAGACAATATTTGTGGTCGTCTTGTCCCTTGTTTCTGTCTTGTCTCTGAGCCTGGAGGAACACATCATCACCTCCAGGGATGTGTGACTACTTTGTTTGCACAACTACTTTGTTGTAGGCCAGTTCTGGACATGCAAAAAGAATATGGAGACACATTTTCAACAGTGTGTCTCCCAAGGGCATTAGACAAGTGAATCCTCATTCAAATTTATGTTTACATAGACATGCATACAGTATGTTTTAGCATCAAACAACAAATAATCTGCTCAAGCACAAATGTCAGTTTCGATGGAAACAAGAGACTCCTGTAGTACTCATGTGCCCTTCGGCAAACCGCCCAATCCATCAGCAAACTGTAGAGTGTCACAAGTAGACGAGACTGTGGTATCTGCTCTCAGGTCACGACAGAATAGAAACGTGAATGAACACTAATAGTCCACACACAGGTGTTTCCACTTGTGTTGCCTAAGACGAAGTTCACACTCATCATCAGATCGCTGTGCTGCTCACACTACACAACTTGCTGCACTACATCACTGACCAGCGACAGGCCGTCACACGCTACAAGACCTGGTCTCCACACTGTTTTTTACAATAACGTAATGATGTAATACCATGTGGGAAACAGGATTTTTTTATTGTCACAGACAGACGTGTTCACAAAACAGCCTGTGTCCATTCATCTTTATAATTTATAGCTTGTACCCTCTACGTGTAGCAACAACTTTGTTCCATGTTGCAGCCGGTTTCCACTCAACCCTGTCTCACGCTCTGATTGGCTGTAGCTTGCCCACAGGCCCCCGACGAGTCCAGATATTCAGCCTGCTATATATCTGGGTTGTGTCTGTGATGCATCGATGAGCCCTTCATCGAGCTTCTCAGTTTGTGTCTTTGAACAGTTCATATATAGTGCTCGTGGGCCGATTTGCAAGCCATCGGCAATGTGCCTCTGATCTAGGGCTTTTGTCAGGGAGCTGCAAAGTCTGTCAGCGCGTGGAAAGTCAGGGCTAAAGTCACATAGTAGTGTTGTCACGGTACTGGAATTTTCTAACTTTTATCTTAAAGAATATCAATGTGAATCAGCTTTTACGCCTGGAACCTCCCATCTACAACGGGCCCTCATTGAGGACTTGGCTCAGATTCTGGAGTTACTCTCTCATCCTGAAGCCTCCTTAAGGAATCTGATCCCGTTTGATTTGGCGGTGGGAACCTCTTGTGACCACCACTACACTAGGGAGGCTCACTTTGAGAATATCAATATTTGATAAAAAATGTTCGATACCACAGGGAAAAATTCACATTTAGGGCATAAAATTATTAGTTTTTAAATACAAGATAACAAAGCTATGACATGACAACAACAACTTTTCTCTCCTTGTCAAGTAGCAGAGAGGAACATGACTGTACTAAACATTACAATAAGAAGAGCATGAAAGCTCAGCTGGTACTGGTTTATCGATACTGCAGAAAACGAGTACTGAAACCATTTCAAATAACCAGAATTGATATGTATTGACAAATCGACATTTTTAACAACACTATCATGTAGTGTGAACTTGGCATAATTCAACCCCTTCTTAAGTCTGTGTGTGCGTGCACAGCCTGTGACTGATTGACAGCTCCCTCACTCTCCAGTTTGTTTTGTTACAGCAGGACAACTTATCTCGTTATAATTCATATTGTTCCAGTTTTAGATGTAATTCCACTTCTATGTGGGTGTTTAAATAAAGGTTTCAATTTAATATGTGTTAACACTTGGTTTGTCACACACAAACACAAACACACTTCACCACTGTCCTAGCATTGCTGCCAACAGGGAAAAAATCTAGTCTAACTGTGGCATATATTATGTTGCCTGATGCTGCACAACACACATTTTTATGAATTAAAGAGAGTGAGACAAACAACGAGAGACGAGAGCGAAGTCAAAGGAAGGACAGACAACAAGCAGATGTTTTCATTTGACAGCTCGTATCATTAGAGGTGGATTCTGATGCGCCGATATAAAGAGGTTTTAATGGAGTATGTAGCCCAAATGAACAGCCTTTCTATGGGGAGCTGGGGTAGTGCTGCCAAGCTGTAGGCCGCGCTGCCAAACAGACAGATCAGACAGAGAGGGAAGAGAGAGAGAGGCTAATGGAGAGGAGGAGGAAGAGGAGGAGAGAAGGTAAGAGGGGAAGAGTGAGCATTTGAAAAGGTATGAAAGAGTGAGAGAAGAGACGGACAGAATGAGCGTATGGGAGACCTGTATGTGTGTGTGTGAAGTGTTCTTTGGATAGCGTTCTCACAGCTGCAGGGGAAGGTGAAGGGGTTCAGATTCCAATTCAACAAAACACAGAGACCGCAGACACACACACACACACACACTCTCTCTCAAATACTCAGACATTCATACTCTCCTCTAGCCAAAGTACTTCATAAAAGCTCACACTCTCAGAAACCTGCTTTCACTCTGTGCTGGCCAGAGGATGTTTTTGGCTGCAGCCTCCCAGTAACACCTACACTGTCACACAGTAAACATACAACAAAAACTTCATACGTACATAACACTAAAGTAGTATTTGCATACACAGACTTATGAAACAATGGGAAACTGACAAGGAAATTATGTCATTAAGGGTGGGTTGTTGGCTGACTTCTCCCTAAATGTTCCCTCGTCAATCTGCTCATTTCCTCCTCCCCCTTTCTTCCTTTCCTCCCCTCCTTCTTTCATCCATTTACGGTAGTGTTGAAATGGAGTGAGTCAGCTTCCAGAAAAAGCCCCGTCCCCATACCGTGGTCAGTGTGTGTGTGTGTGTGTGTATGTTTTTTTGGGTTAAATGACTGCATCGGCCAGAACAATAAGTACAGCACAGTGAAGCAGACAGGGTAGCAGAAGTCTAAGTGTGTGTGACTAGCGGGGGACTTAAAAGATAGACGGCTACAAGAGCATCGGCTGCCAACAGCAGAGGGAGATGTGGAGCAGCCTGTTCCTCCACTGCCCTTTCACTACAACTGTCGCATTGACAAGGACAGCAGCGCTCAGTGTAGGATATATGTTATTCATGCAGCCACAGTCAGCACAGTCAGTACTTACGAAGTGAAGTTCAGACCTAAACAAGTCCTTCAATTTCAAGTGTCCTCAACCCTCATATGCAGAAAGCCGCTCTATTATCTATCGCATTCATTTCATTATCCTCCTCTATATGGCTTGATTTTAAAGGCAGAAAAGGTCTTGATCCAAAGAGGAGCTGGCAAACTTTCCCTGCCATAAAGTTAGCAATTTGTAGCTCATCTATTCCAAAATGTCCTCCCATGTCTGTAGCCAATTAATAATGTTCACGACAAGAGGGCAATGGATTTTATAGGTTGAATATAAGTGCTGTTGGAGATGAAAAGCAGGATGAATGGAGATTCCCCCTGAAACAACACAGCTACAATTACTATAATGTTTTCTGGGTTGTATTGTGCTGCTTTGGTGATGCATATATATATTGTATGGCTGCTATTTTTACATCTGCCACTGATGCTGCTCTCTGGGCAGAGTTTCTCAGCAGATCTCAGTGGAGCAAAAACTGTGAAAGGAACTTTTCTTGTGATGCAAATTCTGGTCCTCCCTGTTTGGAGTGTTGTCAGTGACTTTCAGGTGAAGACCTGTAAACACCACAATAAAAGAAAAAAAACTGCAGGGGGAAGGAGAGAGGATGAGCAGATTGCCTCCCTCTAGCGATGTCCCTCATTCTCATTGTGTGTTTGCGTGCATGTATTTGTGCATGTGCGTATTTCCCCGCAGTCCCGTCCTTCTGTCGCGAGGAGCTAAGGATCTATTATTCAGAATGGCCTCGTAGTATAGATGCTCATACACGCCTAAGGCAGAGTTTGTGAGAGTGGGGGAGAAGGAGAAGCAAGGGAACGATAGGAATTACACAAAATGGAAAAAGCCGAGAAAGAAACTCAGCAAAAAAAAAAAAAAAAAACTGGGTAAAAAGAGAGACGCATATAGAAACATCTATCTAACTTTAAATTAGCATTAAAATTATTCTTAATGTATGCACTTACTTCACTGACAAGAAAACTAAAAGCAGCAACCTTACTGGCGCAGTCATCCAGCTACTCTGATGAATGTCTCCCCACTGTGTGTTTGTGTTTTCACTGCCAAATACGAATCATGTCTGAGACTAATGACTGTCGGGATAAATAAAACATCTCACACATGATGTCTGTGTGTATGTGCACATATGAATTTGTGTGTGTGTCTGTCAGACTGACATGTTTGTACTGTGTTTTAAAAAAGGATGACATCACAGTTGCTCAGCTGCTTATGTCATCCACCACACAGTAGCCGAGGTGTGTCTGTCAGCACACAGGATAGTCATTTTGTGTGTGTGTGTGTGTATGTGTGTGTGTGTGTGTGTGTGTGTGTGTATGTGTGTGTGTGTGTGTGTGAGACTGTGTCTGTCTGCCTGTCGTCAGCTGACCTGGATTTCTTGTAACCACAATGGCATGCAGATACTTTAGCGTAATGTCTGTCTGTGTGTTGATTCTGTGCACGTGCCAGAAAGGTCATCCAATACCACATTTCTACACACCAACAGCAGCCTGCTACCACTGGTGAAATCAATATGAGGGATGACAGCGAGTCTGCTTCTGTGTCAAGAACTTGCTTTGACATGATCACTTACAGCGATGAGGTCATCATTTTAAGTACAGTAACAAAATAATGAAACTTACATCTCACATCACACAGGGTTGAGCTGGTTTAAAAATTTTCAAACCAGTTTGATATTAAGCACCGGCCGAACCGGTATACTGAATTTTACCACTTGACTCGCACTTGACTCAGATACCGCTCCCGAGTGGAACATAATGGCACTGTGTCACAACAGCAAGCGTCTGACTATGGCGTCACATCACACGCTCTCTGTCAACACTGAATCCTTTAAATACGCACTTCTGTTATGTCATGTAAACAAACCAGAGGCCTGTACTACGAAGCAGGATTTGAAGTTACCAAATTAACTTCAGGGTTAACTCTGGGTTTTCAGTACGAAGAAGCTGGTTCTCTTTTTACCGGGATAAATCACTGTGGTTATGCTAAACAGCTAGTATCAGATCCCTGACCTCTCACCAGTCAGATCACTGAAGAAAAAAATATCCATGGACAAAAGTCCAGAGTCTCAGGTAAAAAAAAAAGAGGAGCCTATATATTGCTAGAGGTCAGTAGTAATAGTAGGTTGTTTAATTGTTCCAGGGCTCTGTTTCCGCTGGTTTAAAACAGCTTCTAACAAACAGATCGTTCACAACACTAAACATATGATTTTTTCATTATTTTAACTTAGGTAAAGTTTATTTCAGTCCTCTGTGACAGTGTTCTTATTTTACACTAATTTCACTGCAGCTCAAAATAACATGAGACACCTGTGTGGTGAGAACTGTTAATTGGCTCCCGTTGATATAAATGCCACATTTTGGTCAGACAGACCTCATCAGTCATTAACTAGGCTACTTTTTCACCCTTTACTTTAGAAACAGAAACTGTTTGGCATCACTTAAAGGTGTTTTATGGGACATACTCAGAGTAGTTTCATCATCGTCCAACTAAATAGCAAAAAATACTCTATACTTATGTCACTTATCGCCTAATGATACCTACACCTAATTTAAAACTCGGCCATTAGTGACTTTTTTTAGTAGTATATTCAACATTTATACGTTTCCGTTAAAAGATCACAGAGTGTCATTTACATACCACGCCAAAGACATTATACTGTTTTATAGTCACACACACTTTCAGTACCGTTTCATGTCGCTCATAATTAACACCCTTTTCACATGAACGTGCTCGTGGCTGAACAGGAAAACCCACAGTTGACTGAACTAGTTGATAACTACCTTTGTAGTGCCGGTTATCCAGAGCAAATATTAGGATTAGTAAAGCCAAAAAATGAAAAGATGTCCTGGTTAAGGAACTGGCTTTGTAGTACAGGACTCAGGTATCTATAAGCTGTGCACTGAGTGCTTGTTGTCTTCCCAGGTTTGTAGTTTTTAAACACAAAACATGTTTTCTATTGTGACATTTACTGGAAATGACATACACTGGGTACGTCTCAAGTCTCTTATTTTATACTCCTAACTCCTAACTCCTTACTTGAACCGGAAGTCGTTCGAGCGCCGCTATCTTTAAGGCCGTCTCATGTCTCTTATTCCTGCCAGTAAGGAGTTAGCGTTAGGCGTTAGGAGGGATCTGTTAGGTGCGATGAGTAAGGTAACACGAGAGGTTCCTAACAGGAAGTCTTTTTCAGCTTTAGGCTCTGACGTATAAATACCCGCCCCCTACGTCTGTCTCATTTGAACGAGATGGCGGAGAAACAGCGCAAGTGTACCCGTTACATGCATTCTTTGCAATGAAACGCTGTAATTCACATGCCTACGTGACTACAAAGAGTAACATTAATGATATTTCGTGCAAGACTGTCATGTTGTAATTAAGTTTATTTCATTCACAACCCGTTGCGGTGTTCAGCGGACTGTCTGTGATGCGTGGCTGTTAAATGTGCAGCTGCTCGAGTGATAAAACACCACGCACACACACATACACAAACACATTTGCCCATCATTAATTGTCCTGCATGTCATGTGAGTGAAATAATGTTTAATAGGCTGTAGGTAATATTAATTATTAATATTAATATTAATTATTATTATTACTTTCATTAATGTTGTTGTAAGCTACTGTCATTACCGTCTGTCCTGCATCTCTCTCTGTCTCTCTCTCTGTCTCTGTCTCTCTGTCTCTGTCTCTGTCTCTCTCTGTCTCTCTTTCTGTCTCATTGTGTCATACGGATTACTGTTAATTTATTATGTTGATCTGTTCTGTACGACATCTAGGCCTATTACGGCTTTGATCAGCAAATATAATGTGACTTGGGATGTACGCCAAACGCTGGCTCCGTTATGCAGCAGATCCAGCTGTTCCGCCCATAGGTGCCGCCGTCACCAGAATAGGATGTCACTTTACGTGACGCTTCAGAGTAAGGCCGTCTCATGTCTCTTATCAGCAATCCTCACTCCTCACTCCTAACTCCTGACTCCTTAAATGTTTTCCTAAGTGGGAGGGACTAAACAGTTAAGGTGGCTAGGTTAGGTGGTTAGCAGTAATTTTAAGGGACTTGGGACGTACCTCTTGCAACTACCAGCAAGTAGAGCAAGTAGAGACAGATTTTACAGTGAAAAAAATGAGACGTTGTGTTGATGATGCCTCAGTTCAGCCTCATGAATCAGCCATTCCTCATCCATTGCAGCGTTTAAACTGAGAACAGGAATAAATAGAAACAAGGCAACCAACAACAGTTGAGCTCAAAATGGCCCACTGCATCACTCACGGCCAGTTAGGACACCTCTTTCGTCGGCTTCACATGCAGTTTTAGTTTTCTTGGGAGACTAAGTTTGCCACTTCTCCTTTCATCACAACAAAAAACACATGAACTTTCTAGGAAACAAACACGATGTGCGCCGCTCGTCCCCCCTCCCACCTCTACTGAAATCTGATCTCATTGATGTTGCTGGCCTGGCTCTGCAGTAAATTGTGCACAGCCTGTCAGACACCAGTGGCTCCGTTAGTCTGTTTATACACAAACATAATATTATGTTAATCACGTTGTCATACTGCTTATTACTAATGCAATATAAGTTGTATTTAGAGCTGTGACACCGTAAGCACAGGTGGCTAATGTACTATATTAAGAAATAAATGAACACATTCAAGTTCACAGTGATGCATGTCACATAAAGGTGTCACATGTGATCATGAGGCCAAACGATTCATTGCACACACAGGAAGAAAACACCCCCAATGCAGCAAACCTATTTGCATCCACCCTTTGATGACTTTATGTATTCTGTCAACAACACAAAATTACAACGATTGTGAAAGCTCTCTGAGAATTCCCTTGCCTTAATACAGTTCAGTCAACATTGTGGAAAATATAATTTCATGCCTACTGATCATTTGGTAAGAGCAAATATCAGGGTGGCTCATTTTGCAGGATTTTTCCTCACATAAGCCCCTTTAAAATCACAAATCCAGAGATCCCTCTGACTCTCTTTGAAGACTCAAAACTGTGAAATCATCACTTTTTCATGTATGATTTCTTTCCCCTCCAACTACTTCGGTGACACTGAAAGGGAGTCTGACTTTGTGCGCTCATAAAAGGAAGACATTTTATCCCAAATAGAGCTTTAATTCAAAGTAGCTTCCCCCTTTGAATTTAGAACTAGAAAATGTGTCCCCGTTACTGGAAAATCCCTCTGGGTATTATCAGCGCATGAGATTCTTAAGTCAGTGCTTGTCGTAGTAAAAGGAAATGTCATTAAAGCATTACAAACTACCATTTCAGCTGCCTGGAAATGTGCAGTTTTAATAAAATGCCCACCATTCACATCTTTTAAAGCTTTATATCCATCTTCATGCAAATACCTGTATGCAGTGCAGTAGATCTGTGTGATAGTAGCGGTCATGGTGAGCGTTGGCAGCAGCTAGCGTTAGCAAGTAGTCGTTCCTGGCTTGTGTCGCCTTGGAGTTACAGTCACTTCTCTTAGCTTTCAACTGAAATGAAAGGAGACAGACAATATTGCAATACTGCATTACGGTAACAGAGCAGAGCTTTAAGCTTTATGTTGAGTGTATGAGTCTCTTTTTAGGTTCTGGGCTCATTTAAGCAGCAAAATGAAGCAACCATTTTTGTTGCTGTATCATGGATTTAAAAGAGTCGGCTTGAAAGCTCTGCCTTAAGAGGGAGTGATGGTGTTTGGCTGTGTGAGTGACCCCTCTTACCTTTACACTTGCTTTCTGTAAACTAATTCTTGACTGAAAAAGACCCAGTTTAGACCTGAAATAAAAAGAGAGAGCAAGCAAAGAAGTTAATGTTAATGAATAATGCATCAGTTTAAATTTAATTCTAAAAACACAATAAGCTGTTTATGCTTGTACACAGTGTTGAAGTACTTGAGGTCAGTCGTGGTGTCAAGACCACTTTGTGAAGGTTTCTGTCTCGTCTTAGACTCAACCACATTTTTACTTGATCTTGTCTGGGTCTCAGGCAAAGAGGATTCGGGATTTTATTTCAAGAGCGGTCAAGACCACAACTGCAGGGTTTCACTAAACTGCCTGTGCAAATAATTATATGTTGATTTCAGCTCCTTAGTGTTTGTTTGTACTTGTTTGCTCACAGAAAACAAAGGAAAAGTCCCACACATAAAATTCACCTCTGCAATGTCTTTTGATTATTTTACCAAGACATTTCTTATGGTACACTGACACATACACACATATATATACAGAATGGCGATAAAATAGGTGAATGAAGGGAAATCTTAACTTGTTTTCTGTGGGTGTTTTTATGAGAAAGTGGATCTTTCAGATCAATTTGAAGAGCGCATCTTCCACATCTTAAGTGTAACATCCAGTGTGGGACTCGGTTTCAACACACTCTGATCTTGGTCATGTCTTGGTCTCGGTTTAGGTGGTCTTGACTACAACACTGTTCGCATACTTAAAATGCTTAACAAAAGGAACATTGTTTTCTTTTTGACATCCACTTCATTCACAATCATAGATGTAATGAAACATATCAACAACAAGGTAGGGCAGAAAGGAGAAAAACATCCAAGAACTTCTACAACATCGTAACTCTCTAACCTCTGATTCACAGCAGGCATCATATATTGACCCTGAACAAGCTGTGGCTTGACAGCGATAAATCTTAGCCTGCTCCAGCCACAATGATGTATATTGACGGCGACATCAGGAAGACCTGTCTGATAAGATGATAGAGTGAGCCAAGGTGCATGTATGTGTTTGTGTGTGGTCTGCATTTTTGTTCTACTGTATGCTTATGTGCATAAGAACAGGCCATGTGTACTCACTTACATGTGGGAGCATATCTGCGTGGTGTGTTTCTAGGTTTGCTACACTTCATAAGTGGTGTTAAAAGTGCGTGCTGTGTCTCAGCATTCACACCAACATCTTTCTGTGTGTTCCCTGTGCCCGACAATGACTAATGTCTCGCCATTTGTCTCACACATACACACACATAACGACACAGCGGCAATGCAGTAATTTCTGTGGCTGTGTCTTTCTACTGAGTGATAGAGAATAGAAAAGAGTTGACTGGCCAATCAATGTGGGCGCTAACCAGAGTCGGGAATTCAATGAAGTGAAAATGTCACCATAGCTACCGCTACCTGGGGCTGTGAGAAAAACAACACTCATCAGCACTGCATCACAAGCTGGTACTAATTGTGGTACAGAGCAGAGCTTCAAAATATTGAATTACAGGGGAAACTTAAGTTCTCTACTACTCAGTAGGATATTTAATGAGAACACCAATTAAACTTACAATATAATGAAAAACAAATAACAATATATGTCAATCTACCTGGAAAGCTGCGGGGAAAACATTTTCAGGGGTCCTACAGCTTAAGGTGAGTTAGATTTAAGGCTTTTCGAGACTTTTCAGGACCAATTTTACAATAGAATGTAAAAAAACCTAGAATAAATGCTTTGTGGTTGTATGCCTTCAAAACCAGTGAAGCTGCACTTACAGTTTACATTCATGTCTGTGAAAACATGGATGCTTCACACACATCTTCCCCCCAACAGCACAGAAGATCTATACAATCAGCACAGTCACCAATTCACTATCTGACCAAACACCTCTCCTTTCGTTCCTGAGTTACGACGCAAAATAACGGCCAGAAAAGTGTTTTTGAGGAACAGTATGATATCACAGTGAAGTTGACCTTTGATCTTTTGGATATAAAGCATGATCACTTGTGGCTCAAGGGTCGAGCGGGTCGTCCACTAATCGGCAGATTAGCAGTTCCATCCCCGGCTCCTCCAGTCTGCATGTCAAAGTAAAATACTGAACCCCAAATTGCTCCCAATGGCTGTTCTATCAGTGTGTGTGGGTGTGTTAAAAACTGAGTAGCAGGTGCAACCTTGTATGGTAGCCTTGGCCACCAGTATGTGAATGGGTGAATGTGACTTGTAGTAAAAAGTGCTTTGAGTGCTTGGAAGACTAAATAGGCGCTATACAAATGGAGTTCCATTTATCATCTGTGTGAAGTTTTGTCATAACTAGCGTATGAATTCTTGTGTAATGGCCAAAAACATGTTTTGTGAGGAGGCAGTGACCTTAAACTTGAACCTGTGACCACCAAATTCTAATCAGTTCAGTCCAAGTGGACGTTTGTGCCAAATTTGAAGAAGTTTCCTCATGGCGTTAAGATGTTAAGATGTTCACAAAGACGGGACAGATAGACGGATGGATGGATGGGCGGACTTACATAATAAGACATAATGCCCCCAGCTGTGGTTATTTCCAGTGCAGAGGCATAAAAACATGAACTGATTTTTTTTGCCAGATGATTACTGTTACATCAAGCATGACTGTTTTTGTAGCATGGTGGAGATGAAAGCAGAAAAAAATTTGGGAAATACCTGATGTTTGTTTTCAAGGTTTTTTGGGGGGGGCAATTTTGTGTTTCTCACTCTGCATGAAAAATTCCACTGCCTTGATTCCCATTATGAGAGTTTGAAAAACTTTTTGCACAAAGCACACCAAGCCTTATGTGCGTTGCCTTGAACTGGTTTCAGCCATGCTGCGAAATCTTGGTTAAATAGCCAATATTTGTTGAATTTGCATTTCTTCATGTTGTCTGGGGTACAGCTAACTAACAGACGGTGAATCCTCTGCTCTGGGCATCCCAGCCGGAAACAAAATATGAGGGTCATTGGCTCCACTATCCTGATTCTTGTGAGGTTAATGCGAGAGGCATTCAATAAATTATATATACGTATTAAAAAAATCCTTAAATCCTAACTCCCATGTCTCAGCATTTGTAAGACTTTTGAAAGACTGATTTAAGATATTTAAATACCAATTAAGGCCATAATTTTAGACTAATTAATTCATTGCCTTTTAAGACTTCTTAAAGATTTGCAGGAACCCCGATTTTACATCTGATAGAGCTTTTATTTGTCCTTCAAAGGGAAAAAAATGTGTATTTTAAGTGTCGACAGACTTGATTCAGGTTTAGTTGATTGCTTGGATTCACACCAAGAAAACGGTACCCAGCAGTGTTGTCAAATGTCTGTTCTGTGCTTATGCTCTTGTGGTGTTTTGGTCCCTTATCATCAGTATCTTCTTAGTCTGACTCATAAACACCACTATACTTATGTAATTGATTGCTTCTTTGAGCCTTCGTGATGATGTTTCTCTATCCTTCTCTCACACACACAATCTCTCTGTGAGGTTAACCAACTTTCTTTTCCTGATGGTATTCTTTCTGACAATGGAGACCATCTGTTTAGTCATTTTTATTTTTACATACATCCCCACCAACACACACACATGCACAGCGCCGCGGTGAGCTTACTTGGCCTCGATGTCAGCCTTCTCTCGTACTGCGTGGGCAACCTGCTCACAGTCGTAGTATTTTTTCTTGGCTTTGGCCAACTCTTTTACCGACTCCTGCAGCTCTGCTTGAATGCCACTCAGCTGATCTATGGTCTATGAAGAGAAAAGGGAGAACAGGCAAGTTGTAAGAAGGAGCGCAGACCAACATGAGTCATGATAACTCAGTGTGAGTACATGGAAGGACGTTTGTAGAGATGGATAGAGAACAAAGATTGCTTCAGGAAACTATGACTAACTCCCGCCGTCCATGGATCCGCTCACCTTTTTGAGTTGCTGCTCCTTGTAGAGTCTAACAGTCTTAGCGGGCTCTGATACTTGACTTTTGTAGTTGTCACACACGTTGAGCCTGGACTGGCTCACCTGCACTGTACCTTCTAAGTAGGACCTCCACACAGCATACACATTCCTAGTTGGAGAGAAAAAGCACAAACATGCTGGATGATTGCTGCTCTCCAACTTCGACTCCCAAAAGCAACGAATTCTCCTGCAGAGTGGCTGAATTTTTAAAGTCTCTGCACCTCTGTATGTTTGCCTGAAAAAACTGTATGTGCAGGTACCTAGAAGGGGAAGAATTTGTGTAGAAATGATGCAGTAGTTGCTAGAACCAACAACCCCAAAACAGCTTTATATTTCGATGCCTCTGCTACAGTAAACAATGGCTCATAAATGTGCTTTAGAACATATTATGTAGGGATGCGCAATGATATCTGTACATCATCGGAATCTGCAGATAAAGACTTTAAAAAGAAATATCTGCACGCTCGTGAATATGTGAACTCCAATACAGGAAAGACCCGATGTTCTCTACAACTGGGTGGAAAAAATATGTACATGTATTTGCACTAGCATCGGCCAACAGCACAGAAGATCTATACAATCAGCACAGTCACCAATTCACTATCTGACCAAACACCTCTCCTTTTGTTCCTGAGTTACGACGCAAAATAACGGCCAGAAAAGTGTTTTTGAGGAACATTATGATGTCACAGTTAAGTTGACCTTTGATCTTTTGGATATAAAGCATGATCACTTGTGGCTCAAGGGTCGAGCGGGTTGTCCACTAATCGGCAGATTAGCAGTTCCATCCCCGGCTCCTCCAGTCTGCATGTCAAAGTATCCTTAGGCAAAATACTGAACCCCAAATTGCTCCCAATGGCTGTTCTATCAGTGTGTGTGTGTGTGTTAAAAACTGAGTAGCAGGTGCAACCTTGTATGGTAGCCTTGGCCACCAGTATGTGAATGGGTGAATGTGACTTGTAGTAAAAAGTGCTTTGAGTGCTCGGAAGACTAAATAGGCGCTATACAAATGGAGTTCCATTTATCATCTGTGTGAAGTTTTGTCATAACTAGTGTATGAATTCTTGTGTAACGGCCAAAAACATGTTTTGTGAGGAGGCAGTGACCTTAAACTTGAACCTGTGACCACCAAATTCTAACTTCGACTCCCAAAAGCAACGAATTCTCCTGCAGAGTGGCTGAATTTTTAAAGTCTCTGCACCACTGTATGTTTGCCTGAAAAAAAAAACTGTATGTGCAGGTACCTGGAAGGGGAAGAATTTGTGTAGAAATGATGCAGTAGTTGCTAGAACCAACAACCCCAAAACAGCTTTATATTTCGATGCCTCTGCTACAGTAAACAATGGCTCATAAATGTGCTTTAGAACATATTACGTAGGGATGCGCAATGATATCTGTACGTCATCGGAATCTGCAGATAAAGACTTTAAAAAGAAATATCTGCACACTCGTGAATATGTGAACTCCACTACAGGAGAGACCCGATGTTCTCTACAACTGGGTGGAAAAAATATGTACATGTATTTGCACTAGCATCGGCCAATATGAGTTGGAAAGAATCAGCATACCATGTATTGGCAAAAAAATCCAACATCAGACATGGGGCTGGGTATCGGTTCTCAACGCCTTTAAGGTATTGGCCAAAATATCTCAGTATGAAGTAGCATTGAAACTTCTCCAGTCAAACCATACCTGCATTCGATCATTTTGTACCCAGATCTAGAAAAAAATGTCTATTTGCATGGTCTGTGATGTGGTGATGTTAAGCGCAGTGTATCTGATGAAGTTGGCAGTTCAGTGTGCCGGGATGCCACCAAATGAGTGGTGGTGGCATTTTATACAACTGAATGCTTCCATTCACATGATGGGTATCGAATGAAGTTGAAAAAAAAAAAAAGGTATCAAATGAAGTACTGTATTGGTATCTGTATCAATTTAAGGGTACTAGCACCACAATTTTTAAGCAATACACAGCCCTAATTATGCATGCCTAACATTATGTTTTTCCTACATGTCATATGCACACACATACACACACATGTACACCTACCTGTAGTCTGTCCTCTGGTCGTCAGGGTTGATTCCAGGCCAGTCTCTCTTTAGGTACTGGCTCGCTAACTTCTGCAGAGCCTGAAAGCACAAATATAAAGATGATGCAGTGACAAAAATTACCTGCAAAGTGCCCGCTGTTGTCTGCTGAATTTGTACTGTGTCCAGATTACAGTGTACTGGGAACACGTAAGAACATATGTAGGAAAAAAAATGACGGGGAATAATGAAGGCAACAACAGGACAGCATGAAGCTCTATTGCATCAGATCTTTTCTTTATTAGTGTAACTTGAGGTGCTATGCTTATAACATGACCCCTTACCAGATGTTATATAATATCAGATCAAACGATAGACTGTTGACCAGCACTATGTTCTAAGTGTCTAGTATTTGTACTGTTTTAATAGATTGCGGCTGCTTTTCTTGGCCACGGTATAAAATACTTTAAATTTCAAGAATGCATCCAGATATTTCACTGCTGCACTGCTGCTAGAAGTCTCTCATGAAATAACAACCTTTCTTAGCAAATATGAAGCCATTAGAGCTCTTTTAGAAGACTGAGGTTGTGGAAAAGGTCAGAAAACCAAGGCAGGATAAAATAACTGTTAGCAATCAATTTGTTAGGTTTTACTTAACATACTGGACATATTTTTCACTTTGTTTGGGTGATAAGAAGTACTTAGGTAACCAGGTCAACACTTAACTTGCACTGCAGCGCGCTCCACTCCTTTGAGTGTGAGGGGCTTTAATACAGCTGATTTGGACTTTATTCTCACTTGGTAAGTGCCTTTTTTAGCAGTCTTTATATTTCTGTTTCAAGTACACAGCCAAAATCTTGGCTTTTGCTCAGTAAACACTACCAATATATAGTGGATCAGCCCTGCGTCAGCATCAGTGACTCCCCAGTCAGTTCCTGTGAGTACGAGCAGAAACCCAGAGGGCTGCAAGAAAGGCTAACCTACATCTTCTGGACTGGGTCACTGTGTCAGTAGCGACAAGTCACAGACACTGGAGTGGATGAGTGTGTGTGTGTGTGTGTGTGTGTGTGTGTGTGTAGGGATGGGTGAGAGAGCAAATCCTCATTAATAAAACAAATACAACAACCCAATCAGAGCAAACAGAGCTTAGGGACACTGATTCATTTCTCACAAGGCACATTCCCCCTGCATCTATTTCATTCCTATTCCATATAAATCTGTATGTAAATCTGTCATCAACTCTCTGCTCGTCTCTCTCCGTCCTTCACTCTCCATCTCTAATAATACAATTACAATTTTCTCACAGGCCTATTTTCAAGTGTTATACCATCACTCCCTTCGCTCCCTTAACACAAGCATCAACATCAGGGTTCCTGTTCATGAGTCCTGAAAGACTTCAATGACCCGGACAAATGGGAGAAATTCCGTTCAAATATCATCAATGCTTACTGAGTCCAAAGGGATAGTCTGGGTCTTTTGAGAAGGGGCTGAATGAGATGATTATCTATTAGTCAGTGTATTACATAAAGTAGATTGCAGTCAGCGTGCTCCCTGTTTGGAGAATCAGACAGGACTAGCACCCCAGAAGCTTGTCTCCTCCATAAATGTCTGAAAGTCTGACACAAACAGGTGACCTGTGGCATAACACAATTGGCAGCACAGCAGCACTTATGCATAGGAATACAGAAGTTATAAGGATGAGAAAATGTAGCACCAGTGGAGAGGGTGGTCTGATGGTAGGTAAAGCAATTTTTTTTTAGGTAGGCGTTTTTTTAAGTTGCTAAAATACAATTCGCTGCTAAGCCTCATCTACAGAGCTTTTGAATTGCTAGTCCCGTCTGCTTCTCCAAACAGGGAGTGAGCTGACTGCCATCTACTGTACGTAATAAACTAACTATAGATAATCATCTCATGTAGCCCCACTTCGAAAACCTGAACTATCCCTTTAAAAACAATTGATATGTTAGCTATATAAAGAATGACATCATCAAGGCACGTAGATTTATATTATTTTTACTTAAAAGTGGGATACTTCCAATTATACGTTATATTCTGAATTTAAAAAAAGTCCTGCCAATAGACTCATGTGCATAAAACACTGTTAAAAAAAAAAAAAAAAGATTAGCAATGCCTATGTCCGTTGGGGCAACAAGTAAACACAAAGAATTCCCTTCAGCTTTAGGCCTACGTATTCACAGATGAAATAAAACACATCATCCTCTCTTTCTCTCTCTGTCTTTGTCATGGGACATATTTGATTGAATTACCTTCTATTTCTCTCTCATCTTGCCCTCACTCACATGGTGAATAAGGCCATCGAAAGCAATATCTACCAGTTCTCCCTCTTCTTCCCTGGACCTTAAATTTGGTTCCCTCAAGCTGACACACAAGCTGGTATCCTGGGGGAGACAGTGGCCCAGCGACCCCTAGCACCCACCAGTTAAATCCCCTACAAAATGGCAAAACCCAGACTTTTTTTTTTTTCTAGAAAAGAGTCAGCAGTTAATCTAGGAACAACTCCCCATTACCTCAGCAGTGTTCCTGTCTGGGTAAATTGGCAGCCAGTAGCATAAATATTTTGTAACAGATTAAATTGAGTGTAGAGGTCAGCACAACTACTGTGTCATACTGTGGCAAAGCTGCCATGAAGATGAACGTAGCTTACATGAAGAAGAGGTAACCTATTACTAACTAACTGTACCGGTTACCTCAGGAAATGGTTAACCACTGCCAGTCTCGTTGACGTAACCTGCACTTTAAGATGCAGAAAAATACCAGATGAAGTACACTTACACACACACAAACACCCACATACACACAAAGAAAAGCCATGGCACAAAAACTGCCCTGTCCAATGCATGAGGAAACACGTTCTTTTCAAGAATAGTCAACCTCTCATGCTCTCGAGGGAAGGGTGGAGTGGGTGTGGATGGCTCTGATGAAAGACTGTGAGACTGTGTTTGTTAGAAAAAAAGAGAGGGGAAAGAGGGAATGTGTGAAGGAGGGCTGGAGAGGCATTCAACATTAAAATTGCAATACAAGTGCCTGGAATTTAATTGCCTTCCTACTGTATAAACAGAGATCATTTGTGTATGTGTGAGTGTTTGTGGGGGGGTGAAGCGAGGACAGTGACTGACAGCTGAGACAGCCACTGACTGTGAGCTGGCTGGCTGACAGGAGGGCTGATTTGACAGCTTGACTTCCACACCACACTGCTCCATATTCATTTGACTGGGTTATAAGGCTTCACATTGTCTGATAATTACTCAGATCCCCAAAATATAAAAGTCCTGCACCTGCTACAGTGAAACAGTGACACATTTAACAATACAGTGACACTAGACACTGTATCCTGAATTGTCCGGTTGGACATCTGGGATTAGTGCTCATTAGTTGCCCCTAGTGGACACTATGAGCATGTGCTTCAGCCAGTTGACTTGCCGTTTGTTGAAGGATACTTTCATGTTCTCAAGTCCATCTTAAAACAACTCTCACATACCCATATTTATATTGAGAGAGTTATTGGTCACTGTAATCTCTGCATAGATTGCTTCCACAAAACTTGATACTGATAGATTAGTTCTCAACTATTAAATTAATTGCCAACTACCTTTTTAAGGAAAAAAAATAATCCATATTCTCTGATCTCAGCTTCTTAAATGTGAATATTTTCTAGCGTCTGTCCTCCTAGACCATGCCATCTTGGGCTTTGGGAAACATCGACATTTTTCACAGTTTTCTGACATTTCATAGACCGAACAACTTATCCATTAATCGAGAAAATAATGAAAAGCTTTCTCGACAATGAGTTGCAGCTCTGCAAATGTCCTGCTGTCTATAAGTTATGAACTCCTATCTATAGCAATCAATCAAGGCCCCCTTTTCATGAGCTTTCCAGTTACACAATGGGCAAGTAGAGCTACCGTAGGCAGGCAAATGAAAAACTATTTATCCGCAGTACATTTCTGATGCTTGTCAGCCCCTGCACCGACTGAATTCTCCATAACTCCTACTGCTGAAGCCTCATGTCAGCTTTAGCTTTATCTCGGCTCCAATCGGCTATCGCTCTGAAAACGATAAAGCCTCTAAGGGTAATGGACAACATTTAGGGAGTTCCAGCAAATATCCGGGTCAACACTTCCTCTACTGTGCAACGGTCATTTCAGTTTATCTCCATGAACAGATATAAATATAAATGCAGAAAAATTAGAAAGTTCTTATAAAGCTAAATCATCATCAGACAATATCTGACGGGTTCTGAGGTTGCATTTTAGCCAGTTCATTCCACCTCTCCACATGGAGTGTTTACCCTCCGCTCAAACATGATGGGTCAATACTATCCGGACTTCAAACATAAACTAGAATGTTTCTGATACCCAAACCTGTAGGCAATGGTTTGGGTATCAGAAACATTCTTGTTTGATTCTGCAAACAAAACAAGGAGCGCTGACTCACACTGGAATAGTCTTAAGACTTCACAGTCAACACGGGCAGAAGGAACAATTATCAATGTTACATGTGGGTATTGCAGAAATGAAACAAACTGGATTAAGCCTTTATAAACATGGGCATAACTTCACAAGCCAGAACATAAAGTAGCAGGAGTGACGCTGTCTCCCTATTACTTATTGTAATGGTAACCCGTCAGAAAAGACCACCTCCCTTTCCTGCCCTTCCTTGTTTTTTTAATGCCAGCACACAATTTAAAGCCTCTTAAATGACTCTGTGGTGACATACCTGTTATCTGAGCAAGAGCAATGACAGCTAAACTTGGCAATGACTGAATGGTGAGAAGCACGCTGAGTGACTGATTTGTGACAGCTGAGGTGTTGTTGGCCGACTCGGGAGGATTTCGGATGCTCTTCCATTTTCCCCTGACTGCCTCTCTGTAGCTTCCCCTCTTCCACCCTGTTTATCTCTCTCGTCTATAGCTTTCTATGCTTCCCTCACCTATCCTCTCACCCCACCTCCCTCATCTCATCCATCCATCCTCCTTTCTATGCAGCCATCACCTGACAACCACCTGAACAGTATGTTACTATGGCAACTCTCTCTCCTTTGCCCTTCCTGTGTGGTCTGGGTGAGGTGGAACTGCTCCTTTT